CCTGGGTTCAAGTGATTCTCCTGCCTCAACCTTCTGAGTAGCTGGGATTACAGGTGCCTGTCACCATGCGCAGCTAATTTTATATATTTAGTAGAAACAGGGTTTCACCATGTTGGTCAGGCTGACCCCGTGATCTGCCCGACTTGGCCTCCCAAAGTGCTAGGATTACATGCATAAGCCACCATGCCCAGCCTGACAATTTCTTAAAATGAAGTTTGCCGCATCAGTTGCCTCTTCCTTCATGAAAGATTTCTCTGCAGCGTGCAATGCTGTGTGACAGCATTTCATCCACAGTGGAACTTCTTTCAAAACTGGATTCAATCCTCTCAAACCCTGCCACTGCTTTATTAACTAAGTTTATAAAAATATTCTAATCCTTTGTTATAATCCTTTCAACAATGTCCACTGCACCTTCACCAGTAAATTCCACCTCAAGAAACCACTTTCGGCCGGGCGCGGTGGCCTCAAGCCTGTAATCCCAGCACTTTGGGAGGCCGAGGCGGGTGGATCACGAGGTCAAGAGATCGAGACCATCCTGGTCAACATGGTGAAACCCCATCTCTACTAAAACTACAAAAAATTAGCTGGGCATGGTGGCGCGTGCCTGTAGTCCCAGCTACTCAGGAGGCTGAGGCAGGAGAATTGCCTGAACCCGGGAGGCGGAGGTTGCGGTGAGCCGAGATCGTGCCATTGCACTCCAGCCTGGGTAACAAGAGCGAAACTCCGTCTCAAAAAAAAAAAAAAAAAAAAAAAAAAAAAAAAAAAACAAACAAACTGCAGCAATTCAGTAACATCTTCAGGCTACTTTTTTTTTTTTTTTTTTGAGACGGAGTCTCACTCTGCCACCCAGGCTGGAGTGCAGTGGCGCAATCTTGGCTCACTGCAACCTCCACCTCAAGCAATTCTCCTGCCTCAGCCTCCTCAGTTGCTGGGACTACAGGTGTGTGCCACCATGCCCCGCTAATTTTTTATATTTTTAGTAGAGGTGGGGTTTCACCCAGTTAGCCAGGGTCTCCTGGCTCATGGTCCACCTGCCTCTGCCTCCCAAAGTGTTGGAATTACAGGCATGAGCCAAGTGTCTGGCTCTTTTCCTTGAGACAATGTCATCTTCTGTGGCCCATGCTGGAGTGCAGTGGCGTGATCTTGGCTCACTGCAACCTCTGGTTCCTGGGTTCAAGCAATTCTCCTGCCTCAGCCTCTAGAGTAGGTGGGATTACTGTTTAGTAATAATCCTACCACCATGCCCAGCTAATTTTTGTATTTTTTAGTAGAGACGGGGTTTCACCATGCTGGCCAGGATGGTCTCGATCTCTTGACCTCGTGATCAACCCACCTCGGCCTCCCAAAGTGCTGGGATTACAGGCGTGAGCCACTGCGCCCGGCCAATTTTTGCATAATTCTTAAGGGCCCTAGGATTTTCAGAACAGTAAATGAGCACTGGTTAAAACAAAGTCACCAGCTGCATTAGCCCCTAGCAAGAATCAACTGTCCTTTGAAGCCAGGTACTGACCTTTCTCTAGCTATGAAAGTCCTAGATAGGCATCTTTCCCCCTTATAAGGCTGTTTCATTGACATTGAAAGTCTGTTATTTAGTGTGGCCACATTCATCAATTGCTTTAGCTATATATTCTGTATAATTTACTGCAGCTTCTACACCAACACCTCAACACTTTCCTGTTACAGAGGTGGCTTCTTTCCTTAAACCTCATGAACTAACCTCTGCTAGCTCCACTCTTCTTCTGCAGCTTCCTCACCTTTCACAGAACTGGAGAGTTAGGGCCTTGCTCTGTATTAGGTTTTCACTTAAGGGAACGTCACGGATAGTTTCATCTTCTATCTAGACCACTAAAACTTTCACCCTATCAGCAATAAGGCTGTTTGGCTTATCATTCATGTGTTCATTGGAGCAGCAATTTTTTTTTTTTTTTTTTTGAGATGGAGTCTTGCTCTGTTGCCCAGGCTGGAGTGCAGCAGCGCAATCTGCGCTGACTGTAACCTCCAAGTCCCGGGTTCAAGTGATTCTTTGCCTCAGCCTTCCGAGTAGCTGGGACTACAGGCGCACACCACCATGCCCACCTAATTTTTTTTTTTTAAGTAGAGATGGGGTTTCGCCATATTGGCCAGGGTGGTCTCATACTCCTGACCTTGTGATACGGCTGCCTCAGCATCCCAAAGCGCTGAAATTACAGGCGTGTGAAAGTGCTGAAATTACAGGCGAACCACCACACCTGGTCGATTTTAATTTTAAGAATTTTCCTTTGCATTCATAACTTGGCTAACTGTTGTTTGGCACAAGAGGCCTAGTTTTTCGCCTATCTCAACTTTTGATATGCCTTTCTCACTAAGCTTAATCATTTCTAATTTTTGATTTAAAATAAGAGAGATAGAACTGACTGGTTCTTTTGCCTGAACACTTAAGAGGACACTATAGGGACACTGGCCTAATTTCAATATTGTGTCTCAAGAAATAGACAGGCCTGGAGAGAGAGACTGGAAATTGCCAGTCACTGGAGCTGTCAGTACACACTCAACATTCACCGATTAAATTCACTGTCTTATATAAATGCTTTTCATGGTAACCCGAACCACTGATCACAGATCACCGTAACAGATGTAATGAAAAAGTTTGAGCCTGGGCATGGTGACCCATGACTATAATCCCAGCACTTTGGGAGGCCGAGGTGGGTGGATCACTTGAGGTCAGGAGTTCGAGACCAGCCTGGCCCGCCAACATGATGAAACCTTGTCTCTACTAAAAATATAACAATTAGCTGGGTGTGGGTCAGGCGTACTGGCTCACGCCTGTAATCCCAGCACTTTCGGGGGCCAAGGAGGGTGGATCATGAGGTCAGGAGTTCAAGACTAGCCTGGCCAATATGGTGAAACCCCGTCTCTACTAAAAACAAAAATTAGCTGGACGTGGTGGCATGTGCCTGTAGCGCCTGTAGTCCCAGCTGCTTGGGAGGCTGAGGCAGGAGAATTGATTGAACCCGGGAGGCGGAGACTGCAGTGAGCCGAGATGGAGCCACTGCACTCCAGCCTGGCTCCTGACAACAGAGATCTACTGTGTTTCAAAAAAAAAAAAAAAAAAAAAAAAAAAAAAAAGGCTGGGTGTGGTGGTACGTGCCTGTAATCCTAACTACTTGGGAGGCTGAGGCAAGAGAATCACTACTTGAGCCCAGGAGGTCTCAGTGAGGTGAGAGCATACCATTGCATTCCATCCTGGGTGAGAGTGAGATTCCGTCTCAAAAAAAAAAAAAAAAAAAAAGGTTCAAATGTTGTGAATTACCAAAACGTGACACAAGAGACACAAAGTGAGCACAAGCTGTTGAAAAAATGCCTGGCACTTACAGACTTGCTCCATGAATGCTTGCTATGAACTTTCACCTTGCAAAAAAGGCAGTGTTTGCAAAGCACAATAAAATGAGGTATCTCTTATTCCCTCCACCTTCATCCAGCTACAGGAGGGCCACCACTGTGACTATTTTGTTTACTGCTGTATTCCAAGCAAAAAGTTTGGCACACAGGAGACCTCAAAAATATATATGCGACTTTGATCAAGGTGAGTGAAAAATCTTACTCATTTTATGTACAAAGCACAGATGTGCATATATTATATAAAAAGCGATAGTTTACGTGTGGCATTAAGATTTCATGGAGAAGATTAGAAAAACAGTGCCCACAAAAGCTGCTTACAAAGGTAGTAATTTAAGAAAAGATCAATATACAATGTATTAAAGATATCTGGAAACTCAAATTCAGGCAATACAAAAGCCAGCAATACATCTTTCTACTCGAATGTTCCTATTTCACCCCAAACTCACAGGTAAAGCTGAACTCAGTGTGTCCTTGTCCATTAAAAAGCAAATCACCAAGAAAGTAACAAAAGATTCCCTTCAGTGTCTCTGCCTTTTATTGTCAGCAGTCCCAAAACTCCTGGTCACTGAATTAAAAAGCCTAATCCCGCAGTTAGGACCTAACCTCATCGGCTGCCAAACAGCTGCGTGACCTTGGGCAGACCACCTCACTTTTCTAGACCTCGGTCTCCCCAACCAGTTGGACAGTCTAAGGCAGGCTCCAGAGCTGAGACCCTAGGTCTGGCTCAAGAACTTGGCGCAGAAACAGGACGAAGGGTACTAAGACTGTGAACGTCCGTAGCAACCGACAAGTAAAAGACAAAAGCTGAAATCCCTACAAAAACAGCTCGCCCAAGCTCGATCCTTTCCCTCCTCCCTCGATGGATCAGCCGTGGAAAAGCGGTGTTTACTAGCAACTGTGTTTCCGGTCGCCACAATCTTCATGCACCTGTCTACAGGCGCGCCGGGGCAGCGAAGGGCCCGGGCGGTGCAGGGCTGGGCCGCAAGCCTCACAGTCACACGTTCTTCCAACCACCCGCCGGGGCCCGGAAGCGCACCCGGAAGTCGAGGCCGTACTAAGTTTGAGACTGCGAGCTCGGCGCCCCCACCGTCAGGCCCGCTGCGTCCTCACACCCCCGACCGACAAAAGGCCCCGCCACGCGGCCCCGGCACCCCGGCGAACTTGCAGGCCCCGGGATGGCGGGGCTGCGGCGCGAACACAAAGGCGGCGTCCTCAGCAGGGAACAAAAACCCTGTCCAGGTCGTCCCCCAACGGCACACCTCCGCTCGACTCTCCGAGTGACCTTGGGGGCGTTCCCGCCCCCCCGAGCCTCAGTTTCCCTTCCTAGGCTATGCACTAAGCCCCACGGCCGCGGCCCGCCGGGGTGAGCCGAGACCCAGACACAGGCCTCCCAACTTCCGTTTCCCGCGCCAAGCCGGGCTCCGCGCGCCCGCACGGACCGCGGTGCGAGCGGCCAGAGCTGGCTCGAGGTCCCGGACTGCGGGACCTCGCCCGGGCCGTGCCGCGCAAGGCAGCTTCCTAAAAAGCGGGCGCCCAGGCCTGTGTAGGCCGCGAAGCCGTCCACACCTCGCAACTGCACGGGCTCCGACCTTCCGTTGCCTTCCCGCAAAGCCCGGCCTAACCTGTAGCTGGTTATGTCCGCAGGCGCCGCCGCCGTCACACTCCAGAGAGGAAGCTCCTTCTCCGGCCGCCGAGGAGAGCCCCTCAAGCAAGATGCCGCCGCCTCATCAGCGACCCACTTCCGCTTCGGAGACATCGGCTCCGCCCCCCTGAGGTCCCCATTGGCAGCCCGCCGCCTCTACTTCCGCGGTCGGCCGGGTAGGGAGGCATTTTTTAATCCTATTGGATAAGAAAACCATCTGTTACTACTTTAAAGCGCGCCTCTTTCCGGCCCCGCCCACAATAGTGCGTCCGAACGCGCACCTTCCGACAAGAGAAGGCGCCGGCAAGGCCCCTCCTGTAAGGCCTTTAGGTAGTCGTGGCGTCAGGGCGGCCCGGGCACCTGTCCTCGGCAGCCGCTGACCGCCCCTGTGCCGCCGGAGCCGGCCCGCCAGCGGCCTCCGGAGTCGAGCGAATCCCGAGCGGCCCATTTCTGGGTTTCCAGCTGCACACCAGCCGCCGTGTCCCTGGCTTGACGCAGCTGGCGGAGGCGCGGAGCGGGCCGTGCGCACCGAAGCCGTTCCGCGCCCGTCTCCCAGCTCTCGTATCCTCGCCTTCTAACGAGGCCTTTGTGAGGAAGGGTGCTGGGCCTGGGGGCTCTGACGATGGGTGGAAACCAGGCTGGTTCTGTTTCAGCCCTCGGCGTGCCAAACCCTGGGCCGGCGTGCGGGTCCCCGCCTCTGCGAGGACCCTGGTGGAGACTTATGCCTAACCGAGGAAGAGTTATCGGAGCGTGGACTCGGGGCGCACAGCGCAGGTGCATGCAGGCCCCGGTCGGACTGGAGAGTGGCTGGTGCGTTTCTTGAGCTCTGTCCTGAGCTGGACTTGGACATGGCTTTTGCAGCCAGGAAAATAGCCCACATTATCCCTGCTGCCTGAGAATACCCAGACCTTAGTCCAGGGCCGGCATCTCTGGTCCCTCGGCATCCTCAGGCGACGCGAAGCTCACCCCAAATGCCTTGGGTTGCATTGTTTCCTTACAGTAAATTTCTGGTTTTTGTTTTTGTTTGTTTTGAGACGGAGTTTCCCTCTTGCCCAGGCTAGCGTGCTGTGGCGTGATCTCGGCTCACCGCAATCTCCGCCTCCCGGGTTCACGCGATTCACCTGCCTCAGCCTCCCAAGTAGCTGGGATTACAGTCCCCATCACGCCCCGCTAATTTTTTTTTTTTTTTTTTTTGTAATTTCAGTAGAGACGGGGGTTCCACCAGGTTGGCCAGGCTGGTCTCGAACTCCTGACCTCAGGTGATACACCCTCCTCGGCCTCCTAAAGTGCTGGGATTACAGGTGTGAGCCACCTCACCTGGCCACCTTACAGTGAATGTCTAACCTCGAAAATTGAGTCAAATATTGGAACGACAAGGCAGATAGAAACCAGAGCATTAACGTTTTTGTGTTGAGTTTACAAACAGTATGTGTTTGCTACTTTTTGTAATTGTAAGGAAATTTGGCATGGCAGAGTATCTGATGGATAAATCTAATTCCCATGTAAAATATCTTTTTTTTTTTTTTGAGATGAGGTGTCACTTTGTCACCCAGGCTGGCATGCGGTGGCACGATCATGCCTCACTGCAGCCTCAGCCTCCCCAGGTTTAGATGATCAGCCCACCTTAGCCTCCTGAGTAGCTGGGACCACAGGTGCGTGCCACCATGCCCGGCTAATTTTTTTTGTATTTTTTTGTAGATACAGGCTTTCACCATGTTACTCAGTCTTGTCTTGAACTCCTGGGCTCAAACTATCTGCTCACCTTGACCTCCCAAAATGTTGGGATTACAGGTGTGAGCCATCACCCCCTGCCCTAAGTATTTAATTTTGATAGTGATTGTAGGTTGAAAGGTGTAAGATTTTCTGAAGTTTGTGATTATAATTGGAACAAAGAGAACTTAAAAGTTTCAATGTAGACATTTCATATATCTATGAGAACTTGATAAGGCAGACAACCGAAATGCTGAAAAATAGAATTAGATTCTGCATGTATAAATGCAGTTGAAAATGTTTAAGGGAATCTCAGTTCATAAATGGGGCCAAATGTGACTAATCAAAATGGTGGTTAAAAATAATCAGATTTGGCCAGCACAGTGGCTCAGTCCTGTAATTCTAGCACTTTGGGAGGCTGAGTCGGGTGGATCACCTGAGGTTGGGAGTTTGAGACCAGCCTGACCAACATGGAGAAACCCCGTCTCTACTAAAAATATGACGGGAAGCTGTAATCCCAGGTACTCGGGAGGCTGAGGCAGGAGAATCACTTGAACCTGGGAGATGGAGGTTGCAGTGAGCTAAGATGATGCCACTGCACCCCAGCCTGGCAAAAGAGCAAGACCGCGTCTCAAAAAAAAAAATCAGATTTAGGCCAGACATGGTGGCTCTCGCCTGTAATCCTAACATTTTGGGAGGCTGAGGTGAGAGGATTGCTTGAGCTGAGGAGTTTATAGACAAGCCTGGGTAACATGGTAAAACCCCATCTACACACACACACACACACAGGAGTTTATAGACAAGCCTGGGTAACATGGTAAAACCCCATCTACACACACACACACACACACACACACACACACACACACACACACACAGGAGTTTATAGACAAGCCTGGGTAACATGGTAAAACCCCATCTCCACACACACACACACAGGAGTTTATAGACAAGCCTGGGTAACATGGTAAAACCCCATCTCCACACACACTAGCCAGGTGTGGTGGCATGTGCCTGTGGTCCCAGCTATTCAGGAGGCTGAGACAGGAGGATTGCTTGAGCCCTTGAAGTCATAGCTGTAGTGAGCTGCGATTGCACTCCAGGCTGAATGACAGAAAGAGACCCCCTCTCTCAAAAAAAAAAAAAATCTGATTTAGAAAAAAAGATTGGTAATTTGCATTTCACAGGCTAAGGAAAAGTTAGTTTTCTGTTTGTAACTGTAATACGCTGAAGATGGGATGTTGAAAAACAAAGTCTCTAGAAATACCAGTTTCATGCCCAAAAGCTGCCTTCGGCCTGGGCAACATAGTGAGACCTCATCTCTACAAAAAAACAAAAAATTAGCCTGGTGTGGTGGTAAGTGCATGTAGTCCCAGCTACTAGGGAGGATGAGGCAAGAGGATCACTTGAGCCTGAGAGTTTAAGGCTGTATGCGCTATCATCATGTCACTGCACACCAGCCTGGGTGACAAATCGAGACCCTACCTCAAAAACAAACAAAAGCTTCAAGTCCTCTCCGAGTCTCACTTGTACTGAACTTGCTCCTTCACAAACAGCGCTTCCCTTGGGCCCTGAAGGCCCACAGCTTGGAGAAAAGACTGGCACCTTGGTGCTCCCATAGTCCCACACATGGAAACCAGCTGAATGCAGGTTCCTGGGCTTCACACCAGATGATACTGAATCTGTTCTTAACTATCTCCAAAGAAAGCCCCGTCCAAGTGTGTCTCAACACTGTCAGCAGGGATCTTCTCACGAGCCTGCACTCAGAATGTCCACTCCCAGGCAGTGCAGCCAGGAAAGCTTCCAAGAAGGATTCCCAACACCTGCTGGGCCATAGTTCCCTCTGGCTGGCCCCCTTCGAGGGAGGAGCAAGAGCCTGTGCAGGGAGGGGCAGGCAAGGGTCTCCAGTGAAGGCCCTGGGCTGTTGAGGGTGTGTCTGTTAGCTATTGATCTGGAACAAACCACCCCAAAGCTTGATACTTTGAACAACAGACATTTATTGTTGCTCATGAATCTACAAGCCAGCGGGGGCGGGGGAGGTTCTTGTCTGGCTGTCCTCACATTTTGGGCTCTGATGGTCTAGGATGGCCTCTGAGATAACTGGCCTCCACATGGCGTCTCCTCCCAGCAGGCCACCCTAGTCATGCTTGCACAGGGCCACCTGGGCGAGGTTCCAAGAGCACGAGTGGGAGCTCCAAGGCCACCTGAGGCCCAGACTCAGAACTGGCACACGGCCACTTCTGCTGCACCCTACGCCAGACCAGATGCAAGGGCTGGGGGAAATACACTTCGCCTCTTGATGGGAGGTGTAAAGTCACAAAACAAGGGACGGGGATACACAGACATTTGCCACCACTCTACCAGGCAATGCCTACTCCTAGGCCACCAGTTTAGGGAATGGTGCCAGGCCTGCTCCCACCTAGGTTTGTGTGAGGGAGAGGCCTCAGGTGCTCTCAAGCGAGCTCTGAGCGGCTGCTAGTCCAGGAGGGGGCAGGGGAGGATGCTGTCATCTGCCAACCAGTAGTGTTGTCATTTGCACCTCTGTTAGCTGCTACATCTCCACTCTGCTCCAGAGGTTAGCCTCCTAGATGAAGGGTAATTCTCCGGCCTTGCCACCGTGCTTGCTTCAGGCACCCATACAGACCTTCCCCCACTGCAGGAACTCACTCAGCACAAGCATGTTCAATTCAGGCCAGTGAGACTGGGGCACCTGGTTCTTTGTTCCTCAGGCTGGAACTGCTGCTGGACTGGAGACTGAGCTCTCGGATCAGGCACATTCTGAAGTTGGCTACCTTTGGATTGACATTATGAGAGCTACTGAATCCCCCTTTGAAACCGCTAGAGCTCAGAGGGGCTCTCTGGAGCAGGCATCATCAATGTATTCCCTCAATATCAAATTAAATGGGCTTGGATCACACAACACAGGATGTGAGCAATGTTTATTTCTTTTTCTTTCTTTTTTTTTTTTTTTTTGAGACAGTTTCGCTCCTGTCACTCAGGCTGGAGTGCAATGGTGCAATCTCGGCTCACTGCAACCCCCGCCTCCCGGGTTCAAGTGATTTTCTTGCCTCAGCCTCCCGAGTAGAAGCATTACAGGTGCCTGCCACCACACCCAGCTAATTTTTGTATTTTTAGTAGCGACGGGGTTTTGCCATGTTGGCCAGGCTGGTCTCAAACTCCTGACCTCAGGTGATCCATCCACCTCAGCCTCCCAAAGTGCTGGGATTATAGGCATGAGCCACCATGCCCCGCCAATGTTTATCTCTTTACATGAAATTTAATCTGCTCCCAGCTGTAGTTCTACAGAGATATGAAAATTCTTCTCCTTATCCACCTGGGCGGTAAAGTCCTGGGGTTCTCTCAAACTCAGAATATTGGAGTAGGGCTCTGGTTCTTTAGTTTCTTGTTTGTCACCGCAGAGATGCCTACCTTCCTGGTCTGAATGTACCCAGGGACCCAGCCACCTCATCTGAAGTGCCATCTCCTCTGCAGGCCCAAGGAGGATATTGGGAGTTGGCGCCAGGAACATACCTCCCCTGGACATCTATCTGTGTCAGTTTCCACTCCCCCACTCCTTACTGCTCACCACCCCATGGACTTGACCCTTTTCTCTCTTTCCTGGGAAGAAAGTGGCTTTATGTGCTTTCTTCAGCACATAAAGCTGGAGGCTTTCACCAGCAGGTATTCACTCAGCAAGCCTGTCCTCAAGGTGGAGCCTTCTCGAGCTGACGCCCTGGACACTGCAGAACCCAGCCATCTTGGTCCCTGCCCTGGGTGAACTGCTGCCTCCAGTGGCCCTGATCTTGTTGGATCTGCCTGCTTCTCATGCTGGAGAAAGGGGAGGAGGGGATGCTCTAAAGTCAGCCAGGTGAAGCTCTGAGTTCTGGCCCTCTAGGCAGGTCACATCCCTCTTTGAGCACTGGTGGCCTCCTCCTCCTCAGCAGAACAGAGCAGGCCAGTTCGTAGTGAGGATGGTGGGGGCCCGTGAAGGGCCAGGGCAACGCTGCGTTCCAGAATACTGGCCACTTACCCGGCCAGACGCACACTCACAGTGGCCACCTAGTCTTGAGGATTCCCCAGGTGAAGCCACCTGGCTGCCGGCAAAGGGTGGGGGTTCCAGATTTCCACATCGGAAGGGGTCTGGGAGCTTCAAAGAGGTGGGCACCAGGAATGCCTTGCGCTGGGCTGTAGGGAAGTGCTAGGACCTGGGATTTCGCTTATAAAAACGCAGGACGCCCAGTTAAGTGGAATTCCCGATAAGGGGCGGATACTTGTTTAGCATAAGTTTGCCCCCGTGCAGCAACTGGGCGTCCTGCCTTTTATCTGGCAACTCTTCTCTGGGCAGACGGGGACGAGGGAGGGAGCGGGGTGCGGTCAGGGTGCGGGGGCAGGGGGTCCGGGTCTGAGGGGTTCCAGGCCGAGGAAGAGGAGGCGCGCACCGCGGGCCGCACGCTTTATTGGGGCGTGGCCCGCAGCTGCTGGGGCGCGCTCCGCCCGGCTCAGGCAGCCTCCAGGCGGCGCGCTGGCCCGGGTCCCGAGCCTCCCCGCTGCAGCGCCCTCAGCCTGCGCTCGCGGCTCCGCTCCTGCTCCAGCCAGTGCTGGGCCTCCAGCTGCGCCTGCGGGCCGGGGGACGCGTCGGCGCGGGCAGGGACACCCCCACCGCCCCGCGATGCTAGTCCCCGCGCGTGGCACCCGCCCTCCCCACCCGGCCCCGGCTTTCTGTTGCCCGGGCTCCTTCCAGCCACTCGGACTCACCCGAGGCTTGGGGCGCGCGGCCCGCGGCGCCGACACGTGCAGCAAGGCCGCCTGCTTGGAGCGCTCCGCCGCCCTCTCCGAGATCCTGCGCCGCAGCTGCTGCACGCGCTCGTCCTGCGTGGGCGCCGCCGGGGCCGCCTTCTTCTCCTCCCACCTGGCGGGAGACGCGGAGGGCTCAGGAGCTGGCCGGTGGGAGGCCCAGGCCATACCCAGGATGCCACCCGGGTCCGGGCGATGCGGGGGCGAGCGCTAGGCGGCCAGAGATGTTCACCGGAATGATTTAGGACAGGCAGCGAGGCCCTGGGGCTCCCAGACAGGACCACCGCACAGGGGCTGGGCGGGGGGGGGGCGGTCTCCAACTGCTCTACCCTTTTGCTCTTTTTTTTTCTTTTTTTCTTCTTTTGTCTAATTTTTGTTGTTGTTGTTGTTTGTTTGAGACAAGGCCTCACTCTGTTGCCCAGGCTGGAATGCAGTGGCACAATCACGACTCAAGGCAGCCTTGACCTCCCAGGCTCAAGCAATTCTCCTACCTCAGCTCCCAAAATGCTGGGATTACAGGTATGAGCTATGGCCCCCCGCAGCTCTTTGTTTTAAACTTAACATTTTTAAAAAAGTATAACAGGTGTACTAACTATATGGATACTCGGGGTACAAATGTGAAAGCCCCTTTTGCCCTCACGCTGTGTCTCTTGCCTGGAGGTACCCCCTGCTCATGCTGTGGTGTGCATCGCTGCAGGTATCTGCGCGCGCGGCCCTTGGTCCTTCTGATGATCTGTATTGTTCCCTGCTGGCTTTGGCGTCAGTGCACTTCACAGCCTTAGAGTGTTTGCATGTGCCGTTCCCTGTCTAGATCGCTCTTGTCTGACTGTCCAGGTCGCCCCTGGTGAACTTGTGCCCCGGGGCTGGCTGCATGCCTGAGCTGTGCTCCACCTTTATTTTTTTAGCACCCCGACACCAACCACACTGCATCTGAGCTCCGCCAGGCCATGGCCAGCAGCTGGGAAGTGATGAGCTCTCCGGGTGTGTGCCACCTTGGGGATCTGGTAGGCAGCCAGCCAGCTATGAACAGCACCAGCAGCGGTTGCCCTGTGCCTCCTCTGAATTGCAGCAGAGCAGCAGCCCCTCTGAGGACCAACAGTGAAGGGTTCTCTTCCATCAGCAATGATTAGTCCCTCCTTCTGTCCACCCTGTGATCCACCCCGGCCAGTCCCACTCAGACACTTTCTTGGGGGCCCTGTATGTCAGGCTCTGGAAGAGGCTCTGCCACAACAGCTGGGCCTCCCCGGGAACCAGGCCACTGTCCAGAAGCCAGCCTGACCCCAGGGGACACGCCTGCCCATGTCTGACTTGGCTGCACAGGACAGCCACACAGGGCTAAAAAACATCACCAGAGTGTCCCGAAAACAAGTAAAAAGGCATCAGTACGTGTGTACATGCACAGGAGCTAGCTGAGACCCTCAACTAGATCCTGGTTTAAAAAGAAAAAAAAGGTACAACAAACAGTCTTTCTAAAATGTTGGCTAGCTGTGCGTGGTGGCTCACGCCTTTAATCCCAGCACTTTGGGAGGCTGAGGCTGGCAGATCACCTGAGGTGGGGAGTTCAAGACCAGCCTGACCAAACATGGAGGATCCCCGTCTCTATTAAAAATACAAAATTAGCCGGGCATGGTGGCACATGCCTGTAATCCTAGCTACTTGGGAGGCAGAGGCTGGAGAATTGCTTGAACCCGGGAGGTGGAGGTTACGGTGAGCCGAGATAGTGCCATTGCACTCCGGCCTGGGCAACAAGAGCAAAACTCTGTCTCAAAACAAAAAAAAAAGTTGGCTAACAGTCTTTGAACACCTGGAGAAATATAAAAAAGATGAGATATTTAGATGATGTCGGGAATTTTTGTTCAATTTTCTAGTGGTGTCAGGGTGCTGTGGTTTTATATAGGCCAATCTTTTTTTTAGAAGATGTATGCTGAAGTTTTAAGAATAAAGTGTCTGATTCCTGCAACTACTTCCAAATGCTTCTGCAGACATAAATAGCTAGCTGGCTACGTGAAGCACATATGGTGAAAGGTTGTACCCATTGAGCTGGGTGCAAAAATGGCTGCATCTAGGTCATGGCATCTGAGCCATGGCTGCAGAATTTTGCACCATTCCTATGTGCCTGGAAATCACCTAATACAGTAATAGGGGTGGGGGGAGTTATGGCAAGGTAACCTTCTGGGCAGGAGGGAGGAGGGTGGCGGGTTGTTTCAAGACCTGCCCAGGCGGGTGCAAGGTAGGCTTACTGCTCCCTGCCCACCCAGAGTCCCCTCCCTGAGCCCAGCACCAACCTCAAGGCTGCGGATCTCCCCATGGCTGCTCGGCACAGTGAGATCTGCTCCAGCGTGTCCTGCAGTTCCTGGCTCTTGGTGCGCTTGCTCTGAATGATCTGATCCCGCTTTTCTTCCTCCTCGTGCCGCCGATTCTCTTTGAGCAGGGCCAGCCGTTCTCGCAGCTCCACTATGGACATCTCTCCTTCCAGGCCGTAGCTGGGGATCTGTGGGTGGTCGGGGAGGCCCCAAGCTGGGAGCTGTGCTGGGCCCTGATGCTTCCCACCAGGACCCCCCTCCCCTGCTCCGTAGCCCCACCCCTTGCCCACCTTCCCTCTGCTTGGACACTGCTTGGGAGACCCCCCCCCCAGCCTCTCCAGCCTGGGCTCCCTCTGTGGTGCTGCACCTTGTATGGGGCTGCACATCTCAGGCAAGTCCCAAATGGAGCTCATCACTATCTACCCAGCCAGGCTTCGGGGCCTGAGGCAGACAGCCGTTTGCACTCCCCACGGCCTTGGGGCTGGGCCAGGCCCTGCAGCTGGCTCCCCAAGCTCCTCGGAGGCCTGGGCCCTCACCATGCCTTCTCACACGGGCTTCCAGCAGGCCCTCCTCAGCCTCCTGCTCCAACCAGCCTCCATCCACCCTTTGAACACCTGCCCTCTCCCTACACTGCCTTTCCACCCCGGCCCTCCCTCAGCAGGCAGCTCCTAAGTAGTCTCTGAAGTCCACCTTGGCCACCCCCAGGGGTTACAGAGGACTGGCTCAGTGTCTGCCTCACCAGCAGGACTGTGAACTCTCGGGGCCGACCCAGGCCCACGGCACGTGAGTCATGGAGGGTGGCAGGCCAGGTTTCAGGTGGTACAAGACCCACTGTGGCGCTGGTGGGACCCCGGACACAGCGTCCCACGGGAGTGCCAGCGCGGATGCTCCCAGAGGCACGGGCCCCACCCGGGACTGCATCCTCACCTGGGTCAGGTCCACAAGCTTGCCCTTGCGCGTGGGCTGCGTCTCCAGTGCACGCAGCTGGGAGATGAGTTCACAGCGGCGCCGCTGCTCCTCCTGGGCCTCCTGTGCCCTGCGCTGCAGCAACCCCCGGCTTGCTTCAATCACCTCCTGAACTTGGGGGCCAAGCCAGAAGCTGAGGTGGCTGGTGGGTGGCAGGGCAAGCACTGGACAGGGAGGCACCTCCCCGGGTTCCCCAGCCAGGCCTCTGGCCTCAGTGTGGCCCTTAAGGGGCCCCTGACCCTCGCCACCCACAGTAGCTCGCTCAGGAAAGGGTGGCAGCCCAGGCCCCAAGCAGGGAAGGGTGGGACAGGGCCTGTGACACCTGGCTCCCGACTACCTGTCTGCCGCCGGCCCTTCACAAGCTTCGCCTGAGCTGCCTTGACGTTCTTCTGCCCCTCTATGACCTGCTCCACCAGCTCCTTCCTGGACCTGTCCTCCTGGAGCCGTCTCTTGGCATGTTGCAGCATCAACTTGGCCATCTGCTCAGACAGTGGACCTGCCACGGTGAGTGGGGCTGCGCTGGCTTCCCTGTTTGGTCCCGCCGTGGCCCGGGGTGCAGCATGAGGTCTGAGGGTGGACCTAGTCCCTGCCCCTGAGCCACCCCAGAACCCAGGTCTAAGTCCATTTGCTCCTGGCTGTGCCCTGGAGGTTGGGCCTGTGGGGAGCTTCCACCTCACACCCTCTCCCTGCCTCCCACGTGGTCCTGGGGGTGCCTTCCTGGCATCTGAAGCCATCCAGTTTGTGGCACTTTGTTGTGGTGGCCTTAGAGACCCAGTGCACCTGGCAACGTGAGCTGTTCACAATGGAGGGACCCAGGGAAGCGGGGACGTGGAACATCCGTATTCTCTTTACAGCTTTTCTGTACATTTAAAAATTGTTCTGAAATTTAAACATTATTTTAAAAGTTTCTATGAAAACTTGGTAATATGATGGAGAAATGCCTGTGTGGAAATATGAGGTGAAAAAAGTGGGCACCAAAAAATAGCAGGAGTCCCATATCAGTCAAGTAGACAACGAGCAAAGAGAGAAAAGAGGCAGATCCAAACCTGCACCCCCAGCCACAGTGCCACGGGCTGTGGCACGCGCCGCCCTCCACCCCAGCCACAGTGCCAGGGTCCGTGGCACGGAAACCGTTGGGCGCCTCAGGCTGGGAGTACAGAAGAGGGCGGCAGTGCCTCCTGGCTCTTTGGGATGTGGAATCAGGGAGGCAGCAGCAGGCCCCAGAGAAGGCTCCGGCTTGGGAGTAAGATACACAGGATGCTAAGTTCTGCCTCTGCCACCCTGGCAGCTCCCGGGCCGTGGAGAGCTCTCGGGCCTCTCAGGGTTCCAGTTTCTTTGCTGGGAAGTGAAGATGGCCACGCCTACCTCCTCAGGTGCACTGGGTGCAGGGCCAGCACCCAGCCAGGGCTCAGGAAAGGGTGTCCCCATCAGCCACAGCACCAGCCTCAGCACGGAACAGGAAGTCGGCAGACAGTGGAATGAGCAGGGGAAGAAGGAAAAGAGGCCCACAGGCCGGAGCGGGGACGGGGATCGGTGTTTGGCACGCGATGCCTGTGTGGCCACCTGGCTTGGCTCAGAGTAAGGCTAGGGTTCCCAGGCAGGCAGCAGCAGAGCGGCCCATGCATGGCCCGAGTCCAGGGTCACATGCCTGGCTCCGTCTACTTGGACACCAGCCTTGGACCCACGGTCCTGCCCGCTGTCGCAGGGCGAGGGGCAGCTACATGCATCCTTGGGCCTGCTGTGGAGGTCCCACCAGGTTTCCCACACGTCCCCCCTCCTTCCTACCACAGAGCATGGTTCGCCAAGCTGGAGCTCTCAGTTACCTGCACTGGCACCTTCAACATTAAAATGAAGGTGGATCACATGGAACAGCATTTATGTGACCAGAATCAAGTGGGGAAATGATGAAAATGCTGCTTAAACACTTTGCCTGAATACTTCCGTAAAATGTACTCAGGGCCAGGCGCAGTGGCTCGCACTTATAATCCCAGCACATTGGGAGTCTGAGGTGGGAGGATTGCTGGAGCAGGAGTTTGAGACCAACATAGTGAGACCCTGTCTCACAAAACGTACAAAACTAGCCAGGCCTGGTGGCTCATGCCTGTGGTCCCAGCTACTCAGGACGCTAAGGTGGGATGATCAATTGAGCCCAGGAGGTTGAGGCTGCAGTGAGCCATGATCATACACTGCACTTCAGCCTGGGTGACAGAGCAAGATCCTATCTCAAAAAAAAAAAAAAGTTTTCAAAGAATGATTACCCATGACAACCGAAGCATGAAATGTCATTCCTCACCCAGGGGGTTTAGTGTTGGTACTGTGATAGCTATTCTGGGTTAATTTCACAGTGATAACAGATTAAAAAACAAGTTATTATGTGAATTTCTTTTTTTTGAGATGAAGTCTGGCTCTGTCACCCAGGCTGGAGTACAGGGGTGTGATGTCAGCTCACTGCAACCTCCACTTTCCATGTTCAGGTGATTTTCCTGCCTCAGCCTCCCAAGTAGCTGGGATTACAGGCGCCTGACTCCACGCCCAGCTAATTTTTTGTATTTTTAGTAGAGACAGGGTTTCGCTATGTTGGCCAGGCTGGTCTTGAACTTCTGACCTCGGGTAATCCACCCACCTCGGCCTCACAAAGTGCTGGGATTACAGGTGTAAGCCACCGCACCCAGCCACTTTGTTTTATTCAATATGTCTAATTATTAGTATAGTTCATCAAGTTATCATTATTATTTTAAGACAGGGTCTCACTCTGTCACCCAGGCTGGAGAGCTGTGGCAAGATCAGGGCTCACTGCAGCCTCAACCTCCTGAGCTCAAGCAATCCTCCCACCACAGCCTCCCAAGTAGCTGGGACCACAGGTGTGTGTCACCATGCCTGGCTAATTAAAAACATTTTTTGGGCCAGGCACGGTGGCTCATGCCTATAACCCCAGCACTTTGGGAGACTGAGGTGGGCAGATCACCTGAGGTTGGTAGTTCGAGACCAGTCTGACCAACATGGAGAAACCCCATCTCTACTAAAAATGCAAAATTACCCAGGGGTGGTGGTGCATGCCTATAATCCCAGCTACTCAGGAGGCTGAGGCAGGAGAACAACTTGAACCCGGGAGGCGGAGGTTACAGTGAGCTGAGATCACGCATTGCACTCCAGCCTGGGCAACAAGAACAAAACTCTGTCTCAAAACAAAAACAAAAACTTTTTTTGTAGACATGGGGTCTCACTATGTTGTTCAGGCTGGTCTTAAACTCCTGGGTTCAAGTGATTTACCTGCCTTGACCTCCCAAAGTGCTGTGATTACAGGTGTAAGCCACTGAACCCAGCCATCATTTAAAAATATATCATTTTCCAGCCCCATTGCTAGAGTACCTTTTTTAAAATTTTTTTTCAAAGCTACTGCAAATCAAGCTAGACTACCTTAAAACTGGTCACTGTAGGCCAGGCATGGTGGCTTAATGCCTATAATTCCAGCACTTTGGGAGGCCGAGGCGGGTGGATCACTTGAGGCCATGAGTTCAAGACCAGCCTGGCCAACATGGCAAAACCCTGTCTTCAAAACAAAAAACAAACAAAAAACCCCTGGTAACTGTTGGAAAAAAACGAGAAAAGCACTCAGATAGGAAACTCAATGCTGGCTTCTGTGAGGCACAGAGGTTCCTTAGAGAATAACTGAGTCTGTGTCTTAAGCAGAGAACATTCAGGTAGGCCCCAAACAGCTCTCCTCTCAACAGAAAAGATGCTTCGGAAGGCTCTAGAGCAGTGCCCAAAGGTCAGAGGAGGAGATGAAAGGGCGCCCATGGGTCGGGTTGTGGTCACAGAACCTCAAGCGGAAAAAAAAGTTACAGTTCATTAAAACACATAAAGGTGGCCGGGCACAGTGGCTCATGCCTATAATCCCAGCACTTTGGGAGGCTGAGGCAGGATCACAAGGTCAGGAGATGATGGAGACCATCCTGGCCAACATGATGAAACGCTGTCTCTACTAAAATACAAAAAATTAGCTGGGTGTGGTGGCGTGCCCTCTAGTCCCAGCTACTTGGGAGGCTGAGGCAGGTGAATCACTTGAACCCAGGAGGTGGAGATTGCAGTGAGCCGAGATCATGCCACTGCACTCCAGCCTGGGCGGCAGAGCGAGACTCTATCTCAAAAAAAAAAAAAAAAAAAAAAGCAACAAAAAACACATTAAGGCATTAAAAGCAACCAGTCCAATATTAATTGCATAAGGAAAACTAAAATTCTTTTTGGTATTGGGAACGGTGACTCACGCATGTAATCCCAGCACTTTGGGAGGCCAAGGCAGGTGGATCACCTGACGTGGGGAGTTTGAGACCAGCCTAGAGAAACCCTGTCTCTACTAAAAATACAAAAAATTAGGGGCCGGGCGCGGTGGCTCAAGCCTGTAATCCCAGCACTGTGGGAGGCCGAGGCGGGTGGATCACGAGGTCAAGAGATCGAGACCATCCTGGTCAACATGGTGAAACCCCGTCTCTACTAAAAATACAAAAAATTAGCTGGGCATGGTGGCGCGTGCCTGTAATCCCAGCGACTCAGGAGGCTGGGGCAGGAGAATTGCCTGAACCCAGGAGGCGGAGGTTGCGGTGAGCCGAGATCGCGCCATTGCACTCCAGCCTGGGCAACAAGAGCGAAACTCCGTCTCAAAAAAAAACAAAAAAAAAAAAAAAAAAAAAAAAAAAAAATTAGCTGGGCATGGTGGCGCATGCTTGTAATCCCAGCTACTCACAAGGCTGAGGCAGGAGAATCGCTTGAACCTAGGAGGCGGAGGTTACAGTGAGCCAAGATCGTGCCACTGCACTCCAGCCTGGGCAACAAGAGCGAAACTGCATCTCAAAAAAAAAGAAAAAACTAAAATTCTTTTTCCGTCAAGTATTTAGTGCCACCTAATCTAGTTAAGTTAGTGAGAAAAAATATTAGTCACATGAATGTGTGCAGCTGGACATCCTGAGACCAGGAGAGAACCTCAGAATCCCTCTATAACCTAGTGTGAGAAGAGCGGCATTTTCTTTTTTTTTTTTCCTTTGAGACAGAATCTCACCCTGTCACCCAGGCTGGAATGCAGTGGGATGATCTTGGCTCACTGCAACCTTCACCACCCAGGTTCAAGCAATTCTTGTGCCTCAGCCTCCCAAGTAGCTGGGATTACAGGGGTGTGCCACCACACCTGGCTAATTTTTATTTTTATTACTTTTTGTTTTGTTTTGTTTTGTTTTTAGTAGAGACAGGGTTTTATCATGTTGGCCAGAGGCTGGTCTCGAACGCCTGACCTCAGGTGATCCGCCTGCCTCAGCCTCCCAAAGTGCTGGGATTACAGGCATGAGCTACCACACCCAGCCAAGAATGGTATTTTCTAACTCCAAACACAACACAAGAAAAGACTGTTAAATTTGAAGACATAAAAGGAGTATTTGCATGGCAAACACACATCATAAACCTCATATACAAAGTCAAATGACAAACTGGAACAAAAAGCCATCTGCAACAATATATTATAAAGGATTATTTTTCCTAACATATAAAGAACATTAGGCTGGGCGCAGAGGCACCTGCCTGTAATCCCAGCATTCTGAAAGACTGAGGTAGGTGGACCACTTGAGCCCAGGAGTTAGAGATCAGCCTGGGCAACATGGCAAACCATGTTTCTACTAAAAAGGTGGTGCAAGCCTGTAGTGCCAGTTACTTGGGGGGCTGAGGTGGGAGGATGGTTTCAGCCTGGGAGGCAGAGGTTGCAATGAGCTGAGGTCATGCCACTGCACTGCAGCCTGGGTGACAGAGTGAGACCCTGTCTCAAAAAAAAACTGTGGCTGAGCATGGTGGCTCACACCTGTAATCCCAGCACTTTTGGCAGCCAAGGTGGGTGGATCACTTGAGGTCAGGAGTTCAAGACCAGCCTGGCCAACGTGGTGAAACCTTGTCTTTACTAAAAATACAAAATTAGCCAGGCATGGTGGCACCCACCTGTAGTCTCAGCTACTCAGGTGGCTGAGGCAGAATAACTGCCTGAACCTGGGAGATGGAGGTTGCACTGAGCTGAGATCGTGCCATTGCACTCCAGTCTGGGAAACAGAGTGAGCCTCTGTCAAAAGAAAGAAAGAAAGAAAGAAAGAAAAAACAACAACAACAAAGAAAAATTGCTAAGAGAGTAGATTGTAAGTGTTCTCACCAGAAATAAGTATGTGAGACAATGCACATCTTAATTAGCTTGATTTAGCTGTTCTACAATGTATTTGTATTTCAAAACATCATGTTAGACTAGGCATGGTGGCTCACAACTGTAATCCCAGAACTTCGGGAGGCCGAGACGGGTGGATCACTTGAGGTCAGGAGTTCAAGACCATCCTGGTCAACATGGTGAAACCCTGTCTCTACCGAAAATACAAAAATTAGCTGGACGTGGTGGTGCACAGCTGTAGTCCCAGCTACTCAGGAGGCTGAGGCAGGAGAATGGCTTGAACCTGGGAGGCAGAGGTTGCAGTGAGCCGAGATCGCACCACTGGACTCCAGCTTGGGCAACAGAGTGAGATTCCATCTTAAAAAAACAAACAAAAAAGCACGAAAAATAACAACAACAAAACATGTTATATATCATAAATATATTTAGTTACATTTGTCAAGTTAAAGAACCAAAAAAAAAAAAAAAAAAGGAAATGAAGTCAAAAGTGCAATAGAAAATGGGCAAAAGACATGAACAGGTAGTTCACAGAAATAGACACAGAAATGGCTTACATATATGGACATTTGCTCAAATTCACAGATAAATAAATGGAACGCAGATTGGAACTATACCAAGATACTATTTGTCACCCAAGAAATTGGCACAAATTCACGAATTCAGTGTGGCACTCTCTGTGGCTGGGCATGGGGATCAGAGCCCTCTCACACACTGGGGGAGTGGAGATGGTAAAGGTCCCAGGGAGATGACTGGCCATCTGCAGTGAAGCCACATGCCCCAAACGGCAGCCACTCCTGCCTATCCAGTTACTCTTCGGTGTGACATCTGAAAATGGAACTTCCTCTACAAGGTACCCAGAAAATCCACCTCTGTAAAGGGGAAAACCTTGCACATTATTCTTTACAGGTAAAGCAAGGCGTGACCTTTTATGTAACAAAAATGGGAAGGAAAGTGTTAGTTGTGTTATTTGCTTAGAAAGAAAGACAAGAAAGGTCATCCAGAAATTAATGAGAAGAAGGACCTACAATTTCCACCCTAAGAAGGGAAGGTGGAAATGGGTTGTAAGTTACAGACTTACAAGAGGTGAGACTTCTCTGAGTCTACCTTTGCATATTGTTTGGACTTCATTTTTTTTTTTTTTCTTTTTGAGACAGTTTTGCTCTGTCACCCAGGATGGAGTGCAGTGGCATGATCATGGCTCACTGCAGCCTTGAGTTTCTGGGCTCAAGCAATCCTCCCACCTCTGCCTCCTGAGTAGCTGGGACTACAGGCACATGCCACCATGCTCAGCTAAGTTTTATATTTTTCATAGAGACAGGATTTTGCTATGTTGCCCAGGCTGATCTTGAGCTCCTGGGCTCAAGTGATCTTCTGGCCTTGGTCTCCTAAAGTGCTGGGATTACAGGTATCAGCCACTGTGCCTGTCCTGGCATCCCTATTTTTATAAAAACGAAGGAAAAGGCAAACCTTAAAATTAAATACAGACACAGATGAAACCATCAAAAGAAGCGATCAGAGTGACCTCGGAGCAAGCCCCTGCCTGCAGGCCCGCAGAAGGCTACGTCCCAGGAGAGAGCGTACAGGCCAGCCTCCTGGGACTGAGGCTCCCTGATGGTCTGGGCCACTGGGAGCCCCACTGGAAGGAACAGGCATTCTTGGGGAGCACAGGCTGACAGTGCCCACCTAGGCAGTGTGTCCTTTGAGGAGGAGGAGCTGGGACCGATACATCAGTAGCTCCTACAGGGGCGCTGTGGACACTCGGCTCCTCTGCTGGCCCCACCCTGCAGCTCCCGGTGGGCACACATTAGCTGCCCGCCCCATGGCCAGCTGCCCTGCATGGCACCCACCTGCTCCTTCTGCTGCTCCGCCTTCTGCTTGTTCTCCTGCACGAGGCTCTGCCGGGCCAGGACGGCCTCCTCGTGGCTGAGCTTCCCCTGCAGCCGCCGGCACTCGCCCGCGGCCAGCTGCTCCTCCCGGTCCTTCGCCTGCATCTTCTTCTGCCACTCGAGGAACTCAGAGAAGTCCCCAGCCCCGTCCACAAGCTTATCAACCCTGGGCAAAGAGGGACAGAAGCACAGCTTGGGGCTCCTCCCATGATGGAGGCTACTGGGTGGCCATAGGTTCCCTGGGGGACAGCGGCCGTGCAGGCATGGGCTTCTACACACCCAGTTGTGTGGCCTGCCCTTACTCCTGCCCCCGACCCACCGTCGACCCATCCCTTGGTTCCCCCTACCTTCGTGTCCACCCATCAGCCCCATCTACCCACCCCTCCCTTCATCCACTCTGTCCAACTGTCTGTCCATCCACCAACCCTGTGTCCCTCATCTGTCCATCCATCAGCCTTCTGTCCTCCTCCGGCCTGGCCACCCTCCCCCTGTGCCCCCTCTGTGTGTCCACTCCTCCGTCTGGCCAGCCGCCCACGCTCCCCCACAGCCTGAGTTGCAGACAAGGAAAGACGCGACCACACCGTGTGGGGTAAGCACAGGGGTTTACAGCCCTGGTGCTCTAGGAGACAGGGCCATCGGGAGGGGGTCCAGGGACAAGGTAACTCCAAGGGAGGTTTGGGGTGGGCCGGCCTTTGCTGAGTCCCTCCACCCCCATTCACGCCCCTCACTGAGCCGGGATGATCTTTGTAAGGTGCACCTGTGGCCCTGGCATCATCCTGCTTGCCGCCCCTGCTGTGCAGGACCACAGCCTATTGTGACCCCAAGCCTCTCTCCACTGATGCCCCCTGCCCCCAGGCCCTGCTCTGGGCCTTTGCTCCCAAGGGTGATGTGTAGAACGCAGGTGGGGGCTGCCACCCTTCACCTCTGCAGCTCTTGCTCCACCTGGCGCTGGTACAAGGCCCCTTCCCGCAGGATAGCCGTGGTGTTCAGCTTGACCAGGACGCTGTCGGGCTGTGGGAGTGGGGACTGGCTGTGGTGGGGGATTGAGGGGACCCTTGGGAGCAGCCAGGGCTCCTCCTGCCCTTGTGCCCTTCATGCTTGCCCCCTGCCAGGGTGCTTCCCTCTCCCCCAGGGTGTGACCATCCTTGGGGCTCTGGGTCCCCAGCTCAGGTCATCTGAGCCTCTAGAGGCAGAAAAGGTCTGGAGGGATGGGTGCCCAGGGAGAGGGGCGTGACCATCCAGGAGCACTCCTCACCCTATAGAAGGTCAGCTTTGGAGTCTTTCGGATTCGGGGTGGGAACTGAAGCTGCAGCTGCTGCTTGGAGCCCTGCAGGAGTCAGGGCAGAGCTGGCCGCCTGGCACCTGTGCCTGCTGGATACCCCCAAACACACTCCAGGTAGATGCTGGCCCAGCCCCCGCGGAGGCCTGGCTCCCTCCCCTTCGTCCTCACTCCAGCTGCCATCCCTATCACCACCTAGCTCAGCATCCGTCTTCCAATGCCTCGCAAGCGTTGCTGGGGTTCCACCCAGGCAGGAACAGGGAGGGTGCTGGGCCTGGGAACAGCGGCTCCCAGTCAGGGCAGCCTGGCCTCAGGCTCAGTGACCCTCTCGTCAGCCACCCCAGAGCTGGGGTCTGGCTGGCCCCCAGGGCCTCTCTCCAAGCCTGTCTGCTCCCAGCCCAGCATCCAGCTGCCAGGATGGGCACTGCAAGCTGCAGTGAGGGTTGTGGCTGCAAAGGCCACCCCTCTGAGCGCTTAGCCATTGAGGCCCCACCACACGCACCATGTGGGCTGCGCACCCTGGGCCTGCCCTCATGCCCTCACAGTGGGACCACTGCCACCCAGCAGGGCCGTGCTCCTGTCCGTGTTGCTTTTCTTTTTCTTTATTGGCAAACATACCTGTGTTGGTTTTTTCCTTAAAGAAGCATGCAGTGCTCGTCACGGAACATCTGGAGACAGCCAGGGCCAGGGCCTGCAGGTGCTTTCCCATTAGCTTCCTCCCAGGGGACATGCATGTGCGTCTACACCCGCCCGCATAGGAGCCACACCACAGTGGGCTCGAAGCCCACTTTCCCAGTGTTACTGGGAATCCACCCCGCCCCGGCCCTCAGCGGTAGAAGGCTACATAAGTGGCCACTGCAATGGCGTTGGGAGGAACTTTCTGATGGCTTGAGAATATGCCACCTGGATGGCAGGTCTTGAGAGAGCTGGCTGGTACCTGTGTGGGCTCCCTGCAGGACCTGGGCATGGCGCAGCGCAGTTCCTCAACGTTTGCCCTCAGCAGCAGCTCCTGCCACAGGAACGCGGCGGCTCCAGTCCCACCAGCCACTGCCCGGTGTCCCCCAGGCCATGGAAGGATGAGGCTCCCAGCCAGCTTCCTCCTCCTGCCTCCTCCTCCCTCGCCCCTGCCACACCTTCCCTTCACACATCCCCTACATGGGGTCTCTAGGAAGGTGGGGGTCGCACACAGCTCACCTCGGCCTTTCGGCGGTTGTACCTCTTGACCGTCTCCAGCTGCTGCTGCTCCTTGGGCGTACGGTAGGTGCTCTGGGGGACCTGTTGAAGTGGTGGGAGAAGAGCCTGCGGTCAGTAGCTGCGATTGGGAGGGGCCGAGAAACACCAGGGCTGACAGCTGGGTAGATGTGGGTGAAGGGGAGGGCGGTGGCGGCCTGCACTGGCGGAGAAGCAGGGCTGGTGCTAATGCCACTGGGCGCTGGTGGGTCAGCGATGGGGGTGAAGGGAAGGAGGTCAGGATGGTCATTGGCCTGGGGTCTGGAGCTCGGCCTGGGATGGATGGGTGGGGTAAGACCTGAGCTGGCAGTACTGAGGGTGCACCATCGGCCAGCATGGGATGGCCAGGGTGGGCAGGAGCAACAGGGAGAGGCAGCCAGCTCCCTGGACACTGGGGGACAGGCAGAAGAGGGCTGCCTGGGCAGGAGAGGCTGGGAGAATATCACAGACCCCTGCAAAGTGAGCTGTTGGGAGGGGAGGCTGCAGAGGCCAGGCTGGCTAGACCCCATCCCTGAGTCCAGTCACGGGAGGCTCCCATAACGTGGCCGGAGCTGTGTCCGCTGAGGGGTGCGGGGGGGGGGGCGCCAGCCTATATATCCCTGAGCTCCAGACTGCTGCATCTACCCTTACTCGTTGCCTTCTCCCCTGCACATCTCACAGTCATGAAAAATCACCTAGTCCAAACCCGAAATCTTCCTCAAACCAGCCCTTCCTCAGCCTCAGTGAGCACAGCTGCCATCCAGTCCCCACCCATGCCTCAGAGTCCTCCTCGTCACCTCTGTCTCTCACACCCACATCCATCTCCCATCCTGCCTCCTGCTTCAAGACATCTCCGCAGACTGCCTCTCCCCACGCTCCTTGGCCACGGCAGGTGAAGGGACCCTGTGTTGGCAGCAGCCTGCCTCGATGTGTTCTCCAGTGGCTGTGTGACCAGACCAGTACCCCACCTTCCCCCTTGCCCGCCTCACTCCACTCCAGCCCCTCCGGCTGTCCTCAAACACTTGAGAGAGGGTGGGCATCGCCCCAGTGTCTTTTTGTGTGCCTTGCCCCCTATGTGGAATGCTCTCCCCTGAGACGACCCGAGGCTCACTTGCTCACTTCTGGTTTTTAGTCCACGGCATTTCTCAGGAGGCCTTTTCTGGCCTCACAATCCAGAATCACAACCACTCCAACACTTCTTATCTCCTTTGTCTGCATTTTAAAAATCTCCTCAGCATTTATCACCAACTAATGCAACATATGTTTTACTTATTCTGATTTTGTCTGCGTCCCCCACTGAAGTGCATGCTTCATGAGGTCACAGTGCCGGGCATACACTAGGCACGCTGTAACTATCTGTTGAGTGAATGAATGAATGAATTACAGTGGGCCCTCAACCCTGAAGGGGAAGGATGTCTCAGGCATGGGGCAGGGCAGGGAGGGTAGAGGATAGTTTCAGCACAGCCGCCCTGTGGATGCAGAATAGGTGCATGTCCACCAGCATCTCACAGATTGTACTGAGAGAGACTCAGCTGTAGAGCATGGGAGGGTATGGTGAGGGCCTAGGCAGGGGCTGTACCAGGGAGGGAGGGAGAGACAGAGAGAGAGAAAAGGTGGCAGGATGACCTGGGATAAACACACTGAGTCCTGGGGAGATGGAGTCAGAAACACAGAAGGTTATAGAGATGGGGCAACTGTGGGGTTGCTCAACAACAAGATCTCTGATCATTCACCATCATCCACCTCCATCCAGTCATCCATCCATCTTATCATTCATTCATCCACCCATTCACCACCCGTCTGTCCATCCATCCGTCCATCCATCCATCTGTCCATCTATCCATCCCTTTGATCATCCATCTGTCCATCCATCCACCCACCCATCCACCCACCCATCCATTTACTCACCCACTCATTCATCTACTCACCCATGTGATCATCCGTCTATCCATCCATAGACTCATCTAATCATCTGTCCATCCATCCACCTACCCACCCATCCATTCATTCACCTACCCACCCATCTACTCATCCATCTAATCATCCATTTATCCATTTGATCATCTATGCATCCATCTGATCATCCATACATCCACTCACTCACCCACCCATCCAACCATTTGATCATTCATCCAATCATCCATCCACCCATCTATTCATCCCTCCATCTAACCATCCCTTTGATCATCCATCTATCCATTCATCCATCCATCCATCCACCCACCCACCCATTCATTTACTCACCCACTCATTCATCTACTCACCCATGTGATCATCCATCTATCCATCCATAAACTCATCTAATCATCTGTCCATCCATCCATCCACCCACCCACCCACCCACCTATCCATTCATTCATCTACTCACCCATGTGATCATCATCCTTCCATAAACTCATCTAATCATCCATCCACCCATCCATCTATCCATCTGTCCATCTATCCATTCATCCATCTACCCACCTGTCCATTCATTCACCTACCCACTCATCTACTCATCCATCTAATCACCCACTTATCCATTTGATCATCTATCCATCCATCTGATCATCCATCCACTCACTCACCCACCCATCCAATCATTTGATCATCCATCCAATCATCTATCCAATCACCCAGTCATCCATCCATCCATCCATCCATCCATCCATCCATCCATCTACCCATCCACTTATCCTTCCATGCATACATGCATCCATCCATTCATCCACCCATCCAGTCATCCATTCACCCATCCTATTATCCTTCCATGCATCCATCTATCTATCCATCCACCCACTCATTCATTCATTCACTCACCCATCTACCTACTCACCAGTCTGTTCATCAATCTAGTCACCTGATCATCTATCCATCCATTCACCCATCTGTTATCCATACATCCATCTGATCTCCATCCATCCACTTACCCATCCTTCCATCTGACTATCCATCTATCAACTTATCCTTCTATGCATCTAACCAACCATCCATCCACCCACCCATCTATCTACTCATTCATCTGATCATCCATCCACCTGATCATCTCTTCATCCATCTGACATCCATCCACCTACCTACCCATATATCTATCTATCCATTTGATCATCCATCCACCCAACCATTCATCCAATCATCCATCTATCCATTCACCCATCCCATTATCCATCCTTCCATCTATCCATCCACCCATTCACTCATCCATTCATTTACCCACCCATCCAGCTACTATCTATCTGATCATCCATCCATCCATCCATCCAACAGGTATTTACTGAGGATCTTCTTTAAGCCATAACTAGGCTGCTAGGCATTAAGAATGTGGGACAATCAATGGCCAGGTGCAGTGGCTCATGCCTGTTATCCCAGCACTTTGGAAGGCCAAAGCAGGCAGATCACCTGAGGTCCGGAGTTTGAGACCAGCCCGGCCAACTGGTCTCAACAGAGATGACAAAACCCCATCTCTACTAAAAATACAAAAATTAGCCAGGCATGGTGGCCAGCACCTGTAATCCCAGCTACTTGGGAGGCTGAGGCAGGAGAATCACTTGAACCCAGGAGGCGGAGGTTGCAGTGAGCCAAGATTGCACCACTGCACTCCAGCCTGGGTAGCAGAGCGAGACTCAAAATAATAATAATAATAATAAAATAAATAAAATGTAAAAAAAAAGAGAATATGGGACAAATAAGATGGATGACTAGTGGAGGAGGCAGACAGGCCCACAAATTACTAAACAATTCTAAACTCCAATTCTGTGAAGAAAAGAAGCCAGGATCAGTGAGAAGGAAACTAAGTGAAGGATCCGATATATTTGAGGCGTTTATGAAAAGCCTCTCTGGGAAGAGGGATTTTACTGAGACTGGAAGGGTGGTGGGAGTGGGGCAGGACTCTGGGGCCTGCCAGCACCATCCCCTCCCCTCGCATGCAGTCCTTAGTCCTGCTGGGGAACCACATTGGTTCTGGGAAGCTCAGTCCATTGCTGGTGCTTCGGGTAGAGCCCATGACCAGTCAGGACATCGTATTTCTGATCACAGTGATTAATTCCAGTCAGGCATGAGACCTAGGCTGGCCCAGTCAGGCTTTTCCAAAGAATTATTGGCCCCGGGTGTCCTCTCATGCCCTGGATGGCGTAGGTGGTGGCAAGTGAGGATATTTTGCTGCACTCAGGGAAGTTACCCCACAGATGAAATAGACTTACAGTGGAGACTAGGGCAGAGAGAATCACAGAGAAGCAGAGCTGGAAGCCTGGTCATGCTGTGCCTGAAGCCTATCCTACGTCACTCATGGGAGTCAGCCGATGCTCCACTGTCTAAGCCAGCTTGAGCTTCGTTTTTTCTCATGTTATTTGCAATACAAAGCATCCCGAGTGATGAGCCGCAGTGCGGAGAGACAGAGAAAGAGAGAGGAAGAGGCTCTAGGCCTTCCCAAAGAGTATGCTGTCATCTAAATGTCATTCTCAATGGGGAGGGGGTGTTGCAATACGCCAGGGTTAAAAGTGGGCTCCAAGCTCCATCTCCAGGCAGGTCTGAGCCCCATGGCCTGACAGCTCCACTCAACACCTGCCTATAGAACCACAGTGCGTGGAGTGTGGGAACCCGCTGGGTAGGCTCTGGGTCAGCTGGGCTTTCCTCTCTGTGGGGAGTGAGGGTGGGGTGAGGTGGGGTCATTTAACGTTCCTGGTCTGGTCCAGTGCACCCGCAGTCCTGGGGGGAGCCCAGTCCCCCACAGACCTACACAGTCCACCCTGCCAGCCTGGCCACATTGATGCCCACAAGTCAGTACCCGCTGAGAATGCCCAAACTCACTGGTCTCGGCTTGGCCACAACCGGGACTGGCTCGGGCGCTGGAATGGTGCGAGGCTTGGGGGCAGTCAGGTTGAATTCCTTGGGCTCTGTGACCTTGGCCTTGGTCTTTAAAGGAGAGGATTGACTGACAGACGCGCCCTCCAGGTGACTGATGAGCTCCTGGACCTCTGGTTGCCATCTTGAAGGCAAAAGTGGAAAAGCCTCTTATGTTACTTCCTAAGCTGGTCAATGAGGCGATGGCCCTTAGGATCCGAAGGCTCTCCCCGAGCGACAGGGTCTGCCTGGGTGTGGAGGTGACAGCGGGGTGGGCAGCCTCTCTGCACAAAGTGCCTTCTACTTGTAGGCACACACACTGTCAACCACACCCCTGAGGCATATACAGACGCGGTCCCCTTATACATATACAGGAAAACAGGCCCAGAGGCATGGGCTACGCTGGTGAGTGGGGAGCTGGGAGGACAGAGGGCAGCCCTGCTGCAGGAATCCAGGGCCTCTGAGGACAAGCGGCAGCCAGGACAGGAAGCTAATCTGGGCCGGAGCAGATGGAAGCCAGCAGTGGAGAAAGGAGCTTGACTGGAAAGGAACATTCTGGAACAACACTGTTGGTGACTCCTGGAAATGCAGCTATGGAGTCGGGCGGGGCAGGAGCCCAGTTGTTCTTGGTACAGCCTCTGGGTGGGGGTGCACTGGAGCAGGGATTTGGGAAGGGTCTTGCCAGGCTGCCCAAGGTCTGGGGTCTGCCTTCCATGCCCCACACCCTGCATGGGCACAGCCCGCCATCACCAGTGTCCTCTTCTGTGGGCTCCCTGGGGGCAGAAGGCATGGCTGGAAATAGCTCCTGCCTCACCTTAAAAGCCATGGTCCAGAGCCCACAGCAAGTCTCGGGGGTCTCTCCAGGGCCAGGCCCCAGTGCTCCCGACTCGAGGCAGGTGGGGGACAGGGGCAGGAGGTTTGCAATGGGGATGGTCCTAGAGTGGGCAGAGGAAGCCCGAATGGGGGTGAAGGTGCAGGAAGAGGGGTTCACCGGAATCGGGCTGAGCACCTTCCCTGCCTGAGAGGCTCTCTGGGTTGGTAAGTGTACAGCCCAGCAGGCCCAGGCCATAGGGGCACCTGAGTGGGCAGCGAGTCCAGCCCGGGACACGAGGCAGGAGCAGGGCCGTTCCCACTCCTTCCTTTGGAGGTGTATCCTGATGGCCAGGGGTGGGCCGGCTGGGACTGGGGCCTTCCCTTGGTAAAGAACAGCTCCCGGGTCTCCTCTCCCCACAAGAAGGGCTTCCACCTCCCCTGGGCCTCCAGGTCTCCCGCACACAGCAGGCAGCTAACTGGTCTGCTTGTCTAAAACTGTCTGTCCTTAGGAGGACAGAGTGTCTCCCCTCAGTCCTATCAGAAGGGAAGAAACTAGGGGCCCTTCAGCCGCACCTGGGCCTCTGCAGGCCTCTCCAAGGAGCACAAGGCAGGGCCCTGGCAACTGTGCTGACGGTTCGGGTCTGCCCCAGAGTTTGCCCCAGGCCTGCTGGGGAGGCAGGAGAAGGCAGCTAGGGCGGCTTGAGGGCAGCAGGCCTGGGCACGGCCCTGGGCACCCTGAGAGAGATCTAGACCCAGGAATCCAGCAGGAGCCAAGCTGCAGCTTCCTCAGCTCCCTCCGCCCCCACCCCTACTCTGCACTCTTGGGACCCCCAGAGAGGCCCAGGGCCCTGCCGGGTCCCCACAGGGTGAGAGCCACCGACGCCGCCCCGGTCAGTGGGTAGGTTCCAGGGCAGAAGGGTCCACCCGTCACGTGTCAGCTGCCTGGCATGGAGGGAGCCCAGGCTGAGGCTTGGACAGCTGGACCATTTCCGTTCTTCTCCCCCACCCTCAGGCTGTGGAAGCAGCCCGGGACTTGGGGCTTCTCCAAAGCTCTCATCCCAACACAGAGTGATTACTGACCCTTATAGAGCTTCTGTGAGCAGGAAGGGGAAAGTGGAGTGGGGTGCAGAGATGCCATTCAGGGCCTCCAGAGCCCCCCACCCAGCCCACCTTATCAGGGGGTCGATCCAGTTCTCCTTCACGTGGGCTGGCTCGTAGATGAGGCTCCACTCGTCCTTGATCCATGAGCATAGGTGCAGGGGGTTGAAGAAGAACCTGAGGAACTGAGGCGGAGGGGCTGTCAGGGGGCCGGAGCTGCGGGCCCACCCTCGCCAGGCAAAGCCCCCAGCACCCGCAGTGAACTCCCTGTCCCAAGGCCACAGCGCAGTGTGTGCTTCTGGGACTGTCCCCACGGAGCTCTCCTGGCACTCTGATGCATGGTGCTGGTGCTAGAGGCCTGGACCTTGGCTCCCCTTCCAGCTGGGAGGGGCACAGCCCCCGGGGTCCCTGGGTGGGCCACCGTGGTGGGGAGGGGGCGTGCCCGAGAAGCTGACAGCACATCCTCACTTGGAGGGCCCTGTCCGGTCAACTTCTGGAAAGCCAGTGGATGGGGAGCCGAGGGTCCAGGGCTCCAGGGTGACAGCCCCAGAAGCACATCCTGAGTGGCATCGGAGGCAGGGAGTTGGCGTGGGAGGTGGCCTTGGAGGTCTGGGCTGAGCGGGGTTAGTGGTGGGTAGGGGGCAGTTTCTGTGTGCTGGCCAGGCAGGGCCTGCAGTCACTGCTGTGCCTCCCCAGGGCGGCCACTCTCCCCAGCAGCCTCCCCTCGGGCCTCCACGCCCTTCTCCACACAGAGGAAACCAGGGCTCCTCCTAGAGCCTTCTGCAGCTTCTTCCACCCCCTTCCCCACCGTTTCCCATTTCAGCTCTGTGCTGCTACTGCTTCCTGCCTCAAGGGGGCCATTTTCCCCGCCCCAAGGCTGGGCACTGGGGTCTCAACTCGCCTTCCTCCCGGCCACCCCCATTTGGGTCCCCCAGGGCAGACTCAGCACCCCCAATCCCTCCATCTCCAAACCCCGTCCTCACACTCAGCATCTCAGCTGGGCTGCTCCCATCAGGACACAGCCCTGCAGTGAGGCCCCATCCTCAGTGGGGTGTGGTGGGGCAGCCCTTCCCGGGAATCTGCTGGAGTTGGGGTGGGGCTTTGTGGTTGGTCAGAATCCCCCTCTGCCAGCTGACGGGTTCTCTGGAACCAGCAGGGCCATCGGCCTCCTCCTCTCCCGGTGTCTCGGGGTCACTCCCTGTAGAGTGAGGGGTACCACCTCCTGGGGAGCCACACCGTGCCACTGCCCACCACTCCTGACCATGGTGGTGACAGCACCCGAAGCATGGCCCAGGGGATTTCCTGGAGAGGCCACAGAGTGGCTTTCCTGTCCCCAGTAGCTTGTTCCCCTTTGAGGCCCAGGCTGGCCTCTTCCTGAGCTCTGAGGCAGGAAGGACCCCAGTGGGCTGGCATCACGCAGAGGGACATGGAGTGTGGGATGGAGGGGGGAAGCCCCTGCACGGGCCCCACCCACCCCTGCAGCCTCTCGGGGCTCTTCCCACAGACCTGAGAGGCTCTGTGAGTCAGTAAGTGTGCAGGCACCAGTGTAGGGGGCACCACCCTGGCCCCAAGGACGCTATGCAGCCAGCGCCCAAATTCCTAGGGAGTCCCTACAGCAGCCCCTGAGCGCTCTCTCCTGGGCTGGCGCTTTGGGGCTCTGTGGGCTGAGGTTGGTCCAGGGCCCGCTCTGGCACCGTGGAACCCAGGGCAGACAAAACATGGATCTTTGTTCGACTATGATTATTGTTCTTATTCAGAGTTGGGGTTTCGCTCTGTCGTCACCATGCCAGGCTCATTAAAAAATTTTTTTTGTAGAGATGGGGTTTTGCTATGTTGCCCAGGCTGCTCTCAACCTCCTAGGCCCACGACATCCTCCAGCCTTGGCGTCCCAAAGTGTTGGGATTACAGGCATGAGCCACCTTGCCTGGCCTGTTAGGCAGTTATTAAGAATGTCAAGATAAGCTGGGCCCCGTGGCTCATGCCTAAAATCCCAGCTCTTCGAGAGGCCGAGGTGGGTGGATCACTTGAAGTCAGGAGCTCAAAACCAGCCTGGCCAACATGGTGAAACGCCATCTACTAAAATACAAAAATTAGCCAGGCGTGGTGGCGCGTGCTTGTAGTCCCAGCTACTTGGGAGATTGAGGCAGGAGAATCACCTGAACCCGGGAGGCAGAGGTTGCAGTGAGCCGAGATCGTGCCTCTGCATTCCAGCCTGGGCAACAGAGCAAGACCCTTGTCTGGGGAGAAAAAAAAAAAAAAAAAAGGAACGTGTAGCTAGTAATAGAAGAGCAGAAACCAGTGTCCTCTGGTTTCCAGGGTTTGGTTTCTGGTTTTCGGGGAAGTTGGCCTGGCTCAGTCTCTAGGTATCTCCCAGTGAATGCCATCAGTTTTGCTTCTTTTTCATTGAAATGAAGGCCTTGCTTAGGATAACTCTGTAAATGTGTACGCGTCATGAGTCACTTGTGTCCACGCAGATGAGAAGCGTTCACTATGTGCACCGTGCTGGCCCGGGCTGCGCTCCCCCTCCTTCCACCTGCTCGGCGGCCCAGGTGCTGTGTGAGCCGCCAGTCCCAGGTCCTGGGGCTGCAGGCCTGGTGGGCTCTGCCCCTCCAGGTCTCCCACCTCTCCAGGCTAGGAGCACCCCCTGAAGAGTTAGCTGCTTCCTTTAAGAGAGGCCTCGAAGATCTGGGCCCCAGGGCTTTCCCACTGTCTTCTCCAGGGAGTGTCTTCTGGGCTGGAAACGGTCACCTCCACGCAGAGTAAGGAGGCGCAAGCCGGCGGCTAAAAGCTTGGTCGGAGAATGGGCTATGCTACCGTCTTGCTGTGTGACTTACCCACTCTGTGCCCCAGTTTCCTCAACCCTGGGAGGAATACCATGTAGGAGCAACCTTGCTGGGTCATCGTAAGAATGAAGCAAGAACAGGCACCGTGAGTGTCCAGGGAAGGCTGGCACTCCGTGGGAGTGGGCAGTAGCTGGCAACGAGCAGCAGGCCCAGGCCCAGACGTTTCAGTCCAGAGGCCTGGCTGTGCCAGCTTCCCACACAAGTGGCCCCAGGCAGGCAGGGGCTTTCGTTCCTGCAGGCTCCCCTCAGGGTGCCAGTCCTCAGAACTGTCCCTGACCGATTCCCTCGGGCCCCTGAAGCTGCACAGGGAGGAGAGGCTGTTCCGGGCCTGGGATTTGGTTATGAGTCAGAAGAGGACCCCCAGGAATGGAACCAGATTCCCCCAGGACAAAAGCAGCACTTTCACCAACACTAGTCGGTGTGCGTTGGTTTTTTATATTATTATCATTATTGTTTGTGTTTCAGAGACAGGGTCTCGCTCTGTCACCCAGGCCCAAGTGCAATGGTTCGATCATAGCTCACTGCAGCCTCAAACTCCTGGACTCAAGTGATCCTCCCGCCTCCGCCTCCCGAGGAGGTGGGACTAGACGGGTGCCACCATGCCCGGCTTGCTCCTTCTTTGAAATACAGAAGAAAACCACCAGAGTTTCTTTCAGTAAAACCAACCAGAAAGGCGAAAGGTGGGCAAGGGTCAGATGGACCTCACTCGTGGGCCTGGTGGCCTTGTGGACAGATGGGGGGCTCACCTTGCACATCTTGTCCACGGGCTGGGACTTGATGATGTCACAGAACAGCTGGAAGCCGAGTTCCTCCAGCAGGAATGTGGCTAGGTAGCAGATCACTGGAAAACAGGACGCCTGTCAGAGGCTAAGGGACATCACAGGGGTGCCAGGGGTGTGGCAGGACCGGAGCCCAGGGCCTCCACCTCATGGGGGCACACAGCCACAGGAAAACCCCCACCCCTCAGGGCCCTCCTGAAAATACAAGCAACACAAACAACATCGTCTTAGAGTGCGATGCATTTGTGGTTTCAAAGCACTTCGACATATACTCTCATCTGCTACGTTCTCAGAATTTGCAAAGGTAAAAGTGAAATCATTTTGGACTTGTCAATTCTCAGCATCTGAATCGTCACCTCAAGCCAGCTGGAACGTGAATAACCCTGGGCCCAGGGTTCCCCCAAGGCAGGAACTGTAACAGGCCCCTAGCCTGCGGCCGAGATGCGCTGCCCTCCATAAGGCCCCGGCTGGGTGGCGAGGGGTTGGGGCAGGAGCCTAGCTCAGGACTGGCACCAGCTCCTCGGCTCAGTCTTCCAGTACCCTACAGCGCTTGCCCCACTCCCCTCCCTGCCTAGACGGGGCAGCAAGACCCTGTAGAGGGTCCCAGGTCTGCCCTGACCTCTCCCCAGCAGCCCTGGCCACCCTGCTTGCAATGGTCACCATGAAAGCAAATGGCCATCAGAGGCTTCGGGCAGGCCTGGCAGTGACGGCCTTTGTATTTAATCCCCCACAGGACCGGTCAGACTGCTGCCATGTGATCCATCTTGCCTACAGGCCTCAGGCTCAGTGGTGGCTAGGGGTCAGCCTGCGAATGGCTCTCATGTTGTCCAGGCTGCCTTTGGGAGCTCGATGCCCTAAACTGGGCTGGCAGAGCCAGGTCCGTCTGCCTTGAGGCATCGGTTTCCTGTCTGTGGGGTTCTGGTCCGCCCCATGAGGACCAAGTGAGGCAAGGGGCCAAAAGCCTCTATTGCAAGGGCACGAATGGGGACTGGCCCCACCTGCCCGCCACCTGCTTACTAGGCCTTTCTGCGGAGATCCCAGTGAACCGTCTCTGTGGCCTGGCCCTGGGACCAGCTGGGCACTTACCCTTGAAGCGGCTGCGGTCGACCCTCAGGCAGAGTCGGCCATCCTGCGCGTAGAAGGCATCCACCACGACAGTCAGCAGCTTCCGGTACTCGAGGCACCCAGACAGAACCTCCAAAACAAAGCCCTGCTTCCGGGGGCTCAGAGCCTGGAAGAGAAGCAGCTGGTGGGGGCCCTGGCTGGGCCGGGAGGAGGGGGAGCCGCTCCGCATGCTGCTTAGGCCCCGTGCGGGTGGGAAGTGGGCAAAGGCAGGGGTGGGAAGGGCCTGTTAGTGGGGCCCCCAGGGCAGCTAGCAGTGTCTCCCCACTCAGGGACTGGTCCCCAGATTCTCCTGGGTTGGTGAGGTGAGGTGGGGGAAAAGAGAGATAAATGAAGATGAGGAGACAGTGCAAGGATGTGTGGTGCTGGCTGATGGGGACAGGCCAACGCGGGGGTGGGCAGAGGGCACCAGGGCACTGGCCACGAGAGTCTAATGCAGACAGAGCTTCGCTTTGGTCCAATGAAAGCTTCTGCAGATGGAGGGCGGTGATGTGAACGTGCTCAGTCCCACAGACTCTACGCTGAGAAACGGCTGCCACGGTACACGTTATGTCATGCGTATTTTACCACAATAATGTTTTCAAATGAACTCATAAAAGTTTTCTTTTTATTTATTTATTTATTTTTTAAAGACGGGGTTTCACCATGTTGGTCAGGCTGGTCTTGAACTCCCGACCTCAGGTAATCCACCCACCTTGGTCTCCAAAGTGCTTGGATTACAGGCGTGAGCCACCGCGCCTGGCTTTTTTTTTTTCTTTTTTAAAAGGTTTTCAAGTGAATGAATAAAAAAATAACCAAAATGAATGATGCATGAGCAAGGAACATCTCTGAAGAGCTCATCAAGCATGAATTGAGCCAGGCATGGTGGTGCACGCCTGGAGTTTCAGGTTGGGCAACAGAGCGAGATCCTGTCTCAAAAAAAAGAAGGAATCTTGGCCGGGCGCGGTGGCTCACGCCTGTAATCCCAGCACTTTGGGAGGCTGAGTCGGGTGGATCATGAAGTCAGGATTTGAGACCAGCCTTGCCAAGATTGTGAAACCCCCTCTCTACTGAAAATACAAAAATTAGTTGGGTGTGGTGGTGGGTACCTGTAATCCCAGCTACTCGGGAGACTGAGGCAGAGGTTGCAGTGAGCCAAGATTATGCCACTGCACCCAGCCTGGGTGACAGAGTGAGACTCTGTTTCAGGAAAAAAACAAAAAACAAAAAACAAAGAAGGAATCTCACTCATTGTGGTATTCTGGAATTTTATTTTATTTATTTATTTATTTTTTTGAGACGGAGTTTCACTCTTGTTACCCAGGCTGGAGTGCAATGGCGCAATCTCGGTTCACCGCCACCTCCGCCTCCTGGGTTCAGGCAATTCTCCTGCCTCAGCCTCCTGAGTACTGGGATTACAGGCACATGCCACCATGCCCAGCTAATTTTTTGTATTTTTAGTAGAGACGGGGTTTCACCATGTTGACCAGGATGGTCTCGATCTCTTGACCTCGTGATCCACCCGCCTCGGCCTCCCAAAGTGCTGGGATTACAGGCGTGAGCCACCGCGCCCAGCCTGGAATTTTAAATTAGCAGTGAAAATCTCATATTTTTTTTAAGTTTTTGAGACAGGGTCTCACTCTGTTGTCCAGGCTGGAGTACAGCAGCAGAATCACTGCTCATGGCAGCCTGACTACCGGGGCCAGGCTGCCTTCCCAGCTCAGCCTCCTGAGTCGCTGGGACTACAGGTGCATACCACCACGACTGGCTAATTTTTGAATTTTTTGTAAAGACTGGGTCTCGCTATATTCCTCAGGCTGGCCTCTAACTCCCAGGCTCAAGCAATCCTCCTGCCTTGGCCTCCCAACATGTTGGGATTATAGGTGTGAGCCATTGTGTCCAGCCTCATATGTTTTCTGAATACTTGTATTTTTTTGTGAATTATTATTTAATAATTTATCACTTACATTGTGTTGTGGTACTGTAAATTATTAAATATAATCAGTAAATTTTAACTGGGATAACATTTTTTCTTAATCATTTTATAAGCTCTCTATATTAAGGCTATTAACATAGCCGTAAATATTATAGTTATTTGTTGTGAGGTTTTTTTTGGGGGGGGGGAACGGAGTCTTGCTCTGTTGCCCAGGCTGGAGTGCAGTGGCGCAATCTCAGCTCACTGCAACCTCTGCCTCCCGAGTTCAAGCAATTCTCCTGCCTCAGCCTCCCGAGTACCTGGGATTATAGGCTTGTGCCACCACACCCACCTAATTTTTTTGTATTTTTAGTAGAGATGGGGCTTCACCATATTGGCCAAGCTGGTCTCGAACTCCTGACCTTGTGATCAGCCTTGGCCTCCCAAAGTGAGCCATCGCACCTGGCCTGTTGTGAGTTTTTAATTTGCCTTTTAACTTTATGTAAAATATTTTTGGGCATACAGGGCATGTTGGAATTTTACTTTTATTTTAGGTCAAATCAGTCTTTTCCTTTGTGATTTCTTCAGTTGATTTTATATTAAGAAAACAACAGCATAGTGAGCTAACCTGAAGAATTCTGGACAAGCCACGTGAGCTTCTGGGGCCTCAGTTTCCACACATGTGAATGAGAACATTCTAGGTACTGCTCTGCAGACAGGGCCATTTCCACACCCTTCTAGCGTCACCCCTGCAGTGCAGGGGCTGGAAGTCTGAGAACTGCATGCTTCATCAGCTCTGCCTCTGCGGTTCTGGGAGAAATGGCAGGAGCAAGGGCGGGGGACACCCCTTTCCCCAGGGGTGGTAGATGCTGGGCTTCCCAGAGCCTTCTGCTGGCCCCTGCCTCCCCCACCTGATGTGGCGGGAGTTGCTCCCTGCAGCGCCCTGACCAGCTGGAAGTGGGACTGACCCAGCGTGAGTTCCTCCAGCCCTTGCAGTGGCTTTCAGTGCAAGATTCTCTATGTTAAATCTCTTTCTCCTGGGGGCACCAGGACTGGCTTCTGGGCTCCTGCTGGAATGCCAGCTGATGGCAACATTCTTCTGGGTACAACCCTTGGTTCTAGGGCTCCGTTACAGATGCCTCTTTGTCTTCACATATTGGAGGGGCTCAAGGTGCAGTTCCCTGCGGTGGTGTTTGGCCAGTATCCACTATCTGAGTGATCTCGGCCAGGTTCAAGGCGGACAGCATTCTGATTGCCAAATGTACACCCCCGCCAGCACCACTCCCTGAACTCAGAAACCTCGATCCTGTTGCCACTGAGCAGACCAGCTTCCTGGGCTGGGCCCAAGACTGCCCCCACCAACCTTGTGGCGCAGTAAGCACGGTTCTCTGCTCCCAGCTTGTCTCTCTCCTGGGCCCCGTCGGCTGGGGGACCCTAGCTGCTCTCCCTGCTTCTCCTCCTGCTCCCCCGAAGTCTCTTTTCCACCCAGCAGTCAGGGCGGGTCTTCTCAGATGGATGTCGGATCAGGGGCTTTCCTCTCCGTGCCCAGCTCCCTCCGAGTCCCCAGCCTGCCCTGGCTCTGTTCCAGTCACACTGGCCTCTTGTTTCCTCATGGGGAACTGGCTGTTCCGTCTGCCTGCGACCTCCTCAGGCACACTCGCCCCGCGGCTGTGAGGACGTGCTCCCGACCAGCCCTCACCGCTTGTTTACTGTCCCTTTCCCAGCTAGACGGTCACTTTGTGCTTGCCAGAGAGGAAGGGGAATGCCCTGCCTCCACAGGAGGTTCTGGGACCCAGTTACTTCCTGTGAGTGGGACTGGGCATGGAGAGGTGTGCCCAGGGAGGGCACCCCCCTGAGCTGCCAGGAGGGGCTCCCACTGGGAGCTGACTCTGATCTCAACAGCCAGGCTTGCACCTCAGTTTCCCTCTCAGCTTCCTGCAGTTGCCAGGCTGCACCCACACCAAGGGCGCTGGTCCCCCTGTGTAACTGACGACATCTTGTCAAAGGAGCCCGGGAGCCAGGACAGACCCTTCCAAGAGCAGTGAGTCAGCATGGCCGCTGAGGGTGATGACTTTGCGGGACACTGCTGACAACCTCTTCTGGCCTCCCCGGCTCAGGCAACAGGGACGCCGCTTCTCATCAATGACGTCTGTGTTTGGGAAGAGTGAGCATGCATTTTTAATAAGGTCAGAGCCTTGAGTCCTGTGCCATCAGCCCCAGGCAAGGGGGGTTGGGCCGGGCCACGATGGGCTGGAGGGTCCTGGAAACTGCAGAGCCAAGTGGGAAGCTGGTAACTGACATCCCGGTCCACGCCAGCCCCGAGCCCACGGCCAGGTCCTTGCCACTAATGCTGAGCTGGTGGCCGCCGGGACAGATGGTGTCCAGTCCGCTCACAGAGCGGGGCCTGGGGCCTGGGGGTGGGGCAAGGGATGATGCGTGGCTCAGGGGCACCGAGCACTGGGCCCTGGGCCAGGGCCTTCTGACCAGGCCAGCAGAGCTGTACGGGCCACGGCTGGGTGGGATATCTCTCCCAGAGGAGGCAGGGGAGGACCTTGCTACAGGAGTGAGCTCCCAATGGGGAACCAGCCTGTTGCCGAGACCGGCCTGTGGCTGCCCAAGGGTCTGTGAGTTTGTGATAAAATCTTGGGCCTCGGCCAAGTTCAGGGCTCCTCAGTCCACATCCAGGGAGAGCAGCAGGCACTCAGCAGCGAAGGCTCCAGCGTTGACAGTAGCTAGAGGCTGCTGCAGGGGTCTCTCAGCACCTCCAGAATGCTGTCCTGCTGGACATGGTCCTGTGTCCAGTTAAAACCGTATTTTGCAACTCTCCTTGATGATAAAGCCATGTGACAGTTTTAATCAGTAAAATGTAATGGCAGATTGCTCGGTGTGGCCTCCAGGAAAGCACCTCGAAAGGAAGGTAGATTCAGCGGGCACATGCCTTTGTACTGTTTGCTTTTCCCCTCTCCTCACGTGGGATATAAATGCAATGCTGGAGGTAGGGCAGCCATTTAGTGACTGTGAGGCAATAGTCCCTATTAAGGATGTCTGCATGCAGAGGCAGGGAATGAGTTCCTCATGGCATCATGAGCTGCTGAACCCACTCTAGACTGCCTGTCTGCAGACTGCTTCTCACATGAGCAAAGATGCCTTAATTGCTGAAAGCTTTTCTGGACTTTCTCGTATCCAAACAGTTTCCTAACAGATACAGATCCAAACAGATGGTTCAAAAAATATATACATACTGCTTCGAAACTTAGGAAAATATAACGCGAGAAATGCTGATTATAAATACTCAAAGCTGGCTGGGTGCGGTGGCGCATGCCTGTAATTCCAGCTACTTGGGAGGCTGAGGCAGGAGAATGGCTTGAACCCGGGAGGTGGAGGTTGCAGTGAGCTGCACTCCAGCCTGGGTGAGGGAGCGTCTCAAAAAATTTAAAAAGAAAATACATAAAGCGACTTTTCCAACCTGTTTGACTGGCAAAGATAACAACGTTTGCCGCACGCGAGGTGGGTGAGGGTGAAGGCGAACAAGTGCTCTCTGTCTGCCCAGGAGAGCGGCAGTGGGTCTCTGTGGAGAGCCACCTGGCAATCCACACTGAAAGCACGAGGGCCAGCACTCTTACAGCAAGACCCAGCGTCTTCTTGGATTTGACTTTGGGTGCACCCAAGATACAAAGGGACAGGTGGTCAGTGAGTGCCGCGGTGGTTTGTAACAGATCTCATCTCTAGATTCTTCATTTAATTACGTCTAAATAGAGTTGTATTCATAGGTAACGAGGGGTTAGAACTTCAACATTTGTTTAAGAGCTAGGATCTTACTCTGTTGCCCAGGCTGGAGTGCAGTGGTGCAGTCATAGCTCCTCGTAGCCTTGAAGTCCTGGGCTTAAGCAATCCTCCTTCCTCAGCCTCCCGGGGAGCTGGGACTACCAGCATGTGCCACCATATTTGGCAGATTTTGAGATTTTTTGTAGAGAAAAGGTTTCACTATGTGGCCTAGGCTGCTCTCTAACTCCTGGCCTCAAGCGATCCTCCTACCTCAGCCTCCCAAAGGGCTAAGATTACAGGCACGAGCCACCATGCCTGGCCCATTTTTTTTTTCTGTTAGACAGAAACAGGATCTTGCTGTGTTGCCCAAGCTGTACACAAATTCCTAGGCTCCAGAGGATCTTTGTGCCCCAGATGTCCCAGTAACTGGGACCACCATGCTTGGCCGAGTATTTTTTTGGGGGGAACGATTTAACCCAAAACACTGCCTTTTACCGAAGTCTGCTGTCCAGAGTCTGCCATTCGGTTTATGTATCGTGTAATTTTCTGGCACGTGGCAGTCTTGAGCCTTGGCCTAGCAAAATCTGTGAATTGCAACAATTTCTTGATAGCCGGAGAGGAAAGCGAGCCGTCCAAACTGGGTCAGGATCTGATGCGCCATTCCACTGGACTTGTGCGGGGCTTTTGAAGGATCTGAAAAATCCAGTGCCTGTGAGGAGCGAGCCTCCTTGCCGCCAACAGGAGTATCTGTGCAGATCCATGCCGGGCAGCCCCCCGGATGATCTGTTGTGTTGCTGCTGCCATGTGCCAGTAGGATCGGCGTGCTGGGCCCCCCGTGGGAACACACACCTGTGGTCACCACGTTGTGACACACCAGGTAATAACTAGTCTCAGCTACCACTAATCATCTGTGGGTTGTAGAAAACAAATGATTTATTGTAACAAACTCATTTTTCTGTAATGGTTATTATCAAAAAATAAAGACATGAACTTTACCACTTTTTGCTTGAGGAAGCACCTTCTTTCCCTGCCAAGGTGGGCTCAGCCTGTGGCCGGGGGCACAGCACAGGTGCACCTGAACAGGTAGTGAGGGCAGGGACTGGAGCATGGCCAGGGCAGTCCCCAGGGGCCGAGCAGAAAAGCAGCGTACACAGGCCAAGTTCATCCAACGCACGGCGGCACTGAGGGCTGCAGCCTGAATTAGCAGGACAGGCAGGCAGCCCGAATTAGCACACTTCCTATGAGAGCCCTCCTTCCAGGGGCTGAGTGCCCTCTCCCTGCTCCTGGGCACCAATGGGCTGGTGGTGGCCCATGTGACAGCCCCCCCGGGATTTTCCCTGGTGGGCTCAGCTTCCTCTGGAGGCCCATCCAGTGGAGCCCATGCCCCACATTCCTGGAAGCAGGAGCCCCTCAATCCAAGCTCCTGTTCCCCAGGCACCTGCCACTGATGGATGGTGGCTGTGAGGTCAGCACCTGGGGGTGGGAGCAGGGACGGGTGCCAGGGAGGCCCCTGAGTGGGGCAGGGCTGCCGAGGCTGCAGGGGTGCCAGGACTAGGATGGAGCTGTGAGGAAAACCCAGGGACAAGGGGATGGGAGCTGAGGAGCCGGGAGGCCTCCAGGTGGGCCTGTGACTTCTTCCAGGTGTGGGGAGGACGGTGCAGGAGGCGTGGGGGTGTCTGTAGCCCTCGGCTCCCTGGGGGCCTCACTGCCCAGGCCAGCCCCTGCCTCTGTCAGAGACCCGGTCAGAGATTCCCAACTCTCGGCTACCACAAATACAGCACAGGTTGTGGCCTCGGCCACCGTCACTGCCACAGCCCTGGGGCCCCTGGGGGATGGAGGACCCATTTCCCGAGAGAAGATGCCCCCTGAAGTGGGGGTGGGGCATGGAGTTGCCCCAGGGCTGACCCTTCTCATCTGTGTTATGGATAGAACCACAGCGTGGATGTCACACCTCGGGTTCCGGCCAAGGCTTCTTTTCCCCAGGGCCTGGCCTGACACATTTTGGGTGCCAGGAGCATCTCCCCGTACACAGAGCGGGTCTCCGCGGACATCACCGTCAGCTTCTCCCCGTTTGGAAGGCAGGCAGTGTTAACCAGAACAGCGGCACAGCTGGGGCCATCAACAAGGCCTCCAGGAGTCCCCGGCAGACCCTACCTGCAGGGAGGTGGCCGCGGCCTCCAGGAATTGCTCAGGGTTGTCCCTCTTGGGTGTAAATTTGTCGAGTTGCTCAATCACAGCTTCGAGGCATTTTCCATAGTAGGCCATCTTCCCAGGCAGGGGCCTAAGAACAAACCGTGGCAGGTCACGCCCTCCACACCTGGGACTGGCTGCAGCGACAGGAGCCTGCCAGGGTGCCGGCCCTGCAGCAGTGGGGAGGGCCGGATGCGAGTGGGGGTCCTGGCAGGTCCCCCAAGGCCCACGTCCTGCACTGTCTGCCGCAGGCCTCTGCAGCTCAGGGGCCCAGGCCGGCCTGGCTGAGTTCACCCTCAGGCCCCTATCACCACAGCCCCAAGTCTGCCAAGCACCCTGCAGGCCCCACGGCCATGTCTCCTGGGTGGGTGACCCCTGCAAGGGGCCCAGGGCAGAGCCGAGACTCCTCTCCAGCCAGCCTCTGAACATCCCTCAGCTTAGCCCGGGAAGCCGACAGTTTCTTCGTTAGGCCCTGCGGGGGAGCAGAGGTCCTGAGTGAGGGTGACCTCATCACACATGGTTGGGGCAAGAGGAGCCTGGGGTCCTGATGACGAGGAAGCAGAGCCCTGGGGAGGGCTCGCAGGGGCACGGAGCATTCGAGAAGCGCAGCAGTTCCAGGGATAGGTTCGCCCAGAGCCCCTCCCGGGGGACCTTGGAGAAGCTGCTTAGGGTGAGGCTGGGACCCTGGGAACCAACTCTGAGGCCAGCATGTGGCCCCCAAATGACCCTCAGAGGAGGTGGAGCCTGTGAGCACAGGCCGACACCCCTGGGTGTGGCGCAGGTCTGGGATCCGGTTGTACTATGCAGGATGGTAGGGCAGCGCTGGGCAGAGGGGCACCCTTCTCACCCTCCTCTTGCTCCGTGACTGACCAGCTGCTCTGGGCCAGGCTGGGCTTGCAGGGCCACCAACGCTGGGAACAGTGGGAGCACCTCTCCTCTATCCACAACAAGCTAGGACAGCCAGAGGTAGCAGCCCCCAGGCCTGGATCCTCCAGTCTGGAGACTGACTTAAAAATGCCAACCACCCCCCGCCGTGCCTGCCCGCCAACACACACACTACCGACACTGGAGGGTCCTCGGCGAGATGCCAATCCTGGCGAGGTACAGGGTCTGCGTTGATCTGCCCCCGACTCACCCGCCGGCCAACACAGAGAGGAGGGGAGGCCAGGTGTCACCGGACGTTAGAGAAACCTCTGACACGAAACACAGGAACCATAAGAGAAGAACCAGGAGAAAACGACGCACAGAGCAGGAAAAAGCCTAGAAAGCAGGCACCGCGCTGTGAGGGACGCGGAGACACAGGGTCCGGGGAACAGGCAGTGGCAGGAGAAGAAAGGCGTGGAGGAAAGGAAACCAAAATCCGCCAGCAGAACTGAAACCAACCAAAGCGGAGGAAATCCCCCTGAGGGGAAGACCACGGAGCTGTAGGGACTGGGGAAAGCCTAAGGGAATTAGAGAACTATTCCTGAGGGTCCAAACCCCAGTTAACAGGCGTTTCAGAGAGACAAGCGACAGAAAGAAAACACGCAAATCCCCTGGACAGGAAGGGTGCGGTCTCCCGGATGGACAGGGCCCCTGCAGCTCAGCACGGGGAATGGATCCTGAGATTTCAGAGCCGGGGACGCCCCTGAACGTGTTTAGTGCAGGAAGACTCGGGGATGCAGAGGGGTCTTGCGGGGGGGTGCCCTGGGAAGCAGGCTGAACCAAGAGGGTGTCATTGTGGGGGACTTCCAGGCAGCCATGCAGGTAGCCCCAGGATGACAGTGGCTGGCAGGACAAGGACAGAGCAGGAGGGCAGGGGCTCCAGGGGTGTCTCCAGGAGGAGCACCTGGCATGTTCTGCATGTGGCTTTAACGGCACAGTTAGGGAAAGAGGTTGTGACGCTGGCCCTGGCCCCACGTCCCTGCTGCAGTGCCGCCCAGCACCTGAGGCCTGGCGTGGGCTGTCCTTTCAGGGTCTGCTTTAGGGACCAGCCTGGCTATGCATGGACACAGAGGCCCACAGAGCCTCTCTCTAAGGAGGCCAGGGGACAGGCCGATTGGCATTGAGAAATCTGGCATGAAGCCCTGGTGCCGAGGAAAAGCCCTGGAGATCAGGTGCCCGGAACAAAGCGAGCACGAGCCTCTGGCACGGCCAGGACCGTCACTGCCCGGGAGCCTGCCCTGGGCCCCGGCTGGGTCACCTTCCCCCCACCCCGTGTCTGGAGAGCAGCAAGGCCCAAGGCCACATGGCTGCACGCTCCTCCGCCAGTGCGGTCCCGATAATTCAGGGCGAGGGAGGAGGCAGCGATGCTGCAGGCTTAGAGGACACTGATCAGAGGCCATCACGCCGGCAAAGCCACAGATGCTGAGCTGTGGATGCTGCGACCAGGCTTGCCTGGGCAAGATGAGAGAGCTTCATGGATGAGCCTATCCAGACCCTCTGTGGGCTCCTTCCCCCTCCACGGCCTGCCCCCGGGGCCTTCCACCCAAGCTGCCTCAGCCCACCTGCAGGACACCTTTGCTTCTTGGAAGGCTGGGCCATGGAAGAGAGACCACCCACAGCCACCCCCTCAGGGTCCTCTCACTCTCCTTGGATCCCATCTAGCTGAGTCTCTGGGGTAGGGACTTTGATAGCTGTGAGCAGGGCAGGGCTTTAGCTTGTGACAGGCTCTGCCCCGAGTCCCTGCTCTCTCTGAATTCAGCCCCTCTCCTCAGAAGGGTCCCAGCAGGCCAGGCCACCAGCATGGCAGGAGCGTGGTGCGGTGCGGTGCGGTGCGGTGCGGTGTGGTGCAGGTGTCATGGCCAGCCCTGGTGGGTAGGTGGATCCGGGCAGCCATCACACAGCCAGGGGCAATAGTTGGGCTGCCAGGGGCAGGAAGTACTTTTCTGGGGCATTGCTCGGTGGGGAGGGGGACCCGTGGCTTTCACTCCAGGCATTGCTGAGGGCAGCAGGGGCTCCCCGTAGGCAGTGACTCACAGCTCACAAATCCCGCTCCCCATCCTCCTCAGGGCCAGCCACACTAAGGCACTTTTGACAACTCCACAGCATAACTGGGGACTTCGGGGGCGCAGTGGGGGGGCAGTAGACAGGGCCCCTGGGAGCCCTGCCATCCTCCTGGAGCTGGCGTGGTGGAGACTGGGAGCAGCATGTGTTCCGGCACCCAGGAGCTCCGGTTCAGCACACGGCAGGGTGTTTTGCAGGGCACAGGAAGGGGCCCCTGTCCATGGCCTGGCCGGGGTGGAGGTTGTGACTGGGGTGGGAGGTAGCTGGGGCGGGTGTGGAGGCTATGTGAGGGGTGCCAATCTCCTAGCTCCAGTCCTGGAGCTACTAGGCAACCTCTGAGGACAAGGGGCTTAGCCTCCCTCTGCCCTGGGTTCTGCAGGGCGGGGGAGTGGATGGTAAGGCACAGTGTGTAAGGCGAATCCTTGGGGTTGAGGATAGTGGGAGGAGCCTCTGTGCACAAAGAGATGAGGCAGCAGATTTGAGCCTCAATAGGGATGATCCCTGGGGGATGAAGGGCCCCTGAGACCACAGCCCTCCCCAAGACCAGCACCTGCGACAACAGGAGCCCTGGTGCCTGGCTTCCCGCTGCAGCCTGGGTCCTGGCCCTGCTGGCCCACAGCGGGCTCCTGCCCCAGCCCTGCCCTGTCGGGTGCCCCATCCCCTGCCCCCGTACCCTGCCCACTGCAGCCTGGTCTACGGCCCTCCCTCCCCTGTCTGGGCTCTGGCGTCACCCGAGGCCTCAGGATCTGGAGCAGCTCTGGGCCCTTTGTCCCACTGAAGCCCACTCCTAATGGAAAACAACTCCAGACACTCCAGGAATCTCCACGCCAAAGGCAGTGCCATGAGTGTGGGTGTGTGGCGGGGAGGGGCTGGTCTCTGGGGAACAGCGTTTCCTCAGGGTCCCTGATCCTAGTTACTCCTGCCTGGGGGCAAACAGGCACTGACCTGGAGGTTGTGGGGATCCCCGGAGGGAACGCTGGCTCTGGAAGGAGTCTGGGAAAAGATGCTCGATCCCGCCGTCTGTAGCCTGTGCCCTTGAGCGACCCTGCTCTTGGCAGCCCAGCGTGGCTGGTGGACCTGACACTGCTGGTCCCTCCCCCACAGCAGGAGCCTTGCTGGACAGCAGCTCGGGCTGCCCAGAGCCCCCCAGGAGCACCTCTCCTAACCAGAGACTCGTGTTCATAGGAATGCTCTTCCCTGGCTTCTTGTCTGAGCGGACACTGGACGTGTCCAGGTGAAGCCTGTCTGGCCTGGCCATTTGACCTGGCTGCAGCCCGCTGTCCTGGTCTCCCAGGTGTCCCACCCACGCCTGCGCACGGCAGGTTCTCCTTAGGGACTGGACAGCGTGGAGGAAAGGCAGGGGGACGCCAGGCTGTTGGCCTGAGTCCTGGTGGATGGGTTGGGGAAGGCTTTGCTGGGAGCTGTTTCAGGTCATGGTCCATTTCATCCATCACCAACAAATGCCCCCAGGCTCTAAGCTCAGCGTGTCCTAACCCTGTCACAGCCCCAGGTCACCAGTCCTCTCCTGCACCTGGCTCTGCCCACTTGGGCTTAGATGAGAAGGCCCTGCGTATGTAGCTCCTGAACCACAAACAAACCTCCTCGTCCTTCTTGTCCCCCACGAGCTCCTGGGCGTCCCCAACACCTGCTTCACCCCTCAGCTCCTGTGAAGCCTTCGATTAACCCCCACTGCATTGCTAAGGGCCTTGGGCAGTGTCCTGCTGCGTCACCCTGAGTCCCAGCCTCTCAGCCCAGAGCTGGCACCTAGCCAGTGCCTCAGCAATGTCTGTGGAATAAGCAGCTGACAGTAAAAACATGAATGGCTCACGCGCCCTGAACTGTCCTCGTGGTTTTCATCCTAAAGATGGCTTTGACATCCAAAGATAAGGCCCATCCAAAGATCATACTGGTTTAGTTTCTTTTTTTTGAGACGGTGTCTCGCTCTGTTGCCCAGGCTGGAGTGCAACGGGGTGATCTTGGCTCACGGCAACCTCTGCCCCTCTCGCCCCATTCTCTTGCCTCAGCCTCCCGAGTAGCTGGGATTACAGGATTACAGGTGTTTGTCACTACACCTGGCTAATTTTTGTATTTTCTTTTTTGTTAAGATGGAGTTTTGCTCTTGTCACCCAGGCTGGAGTGCGA